GATCAAGAGTTACTGACGTTTTTATACTAAAAATATGCACTTTTTAAATGCTAATATCTCTGGTTGGGGCAAACAAAAAAAAAGTTTTTTTGCAGCATTTGAAAGGGCGTATGTTATTCTCAATAATATGAAAAAAATGGAGGTATGTTATTTTTTCAACTCGTATAAAATCAATTTGAATTTATTCATATTTTTAACTATATTTGAGTATAACTTTTTTATAAGAGATACAGGCAACAAATCCAGCTATAAGTTTATAAAAAGTTTTAAAAGTATCTAGAAGATAACTTTCATGAGAATTTTCAAATAAAAAAGTTACACGTTATTTCTAAACAACCCAAATTTAAGTAAGATCTACTTATTTCCATTAGAATTAGGACTAAACAATATAGAGTGAACTAGATTGTAACTGACAAGATAACAAATTAACATTCGGATTCAGGTGTTCAATCGCCATCTTGTCAATCCCAACTTTGTTTACTCAATTTTGGGGGATATGAGTAGATCCTAGTTGTTTAGAAATAGCGTGCATCCTGCATTGTTTTGTTCAGGATAGTGTATCTGACGCTTTAAACCTTGGTCTCTATATATTATATAATATATATAAAATATTCACAAGGAGGATAGTGTAACTGACGCTTTAAACCTTGGTCTATATATCCCCCTCATTTTTAAAAATCGCTATTAGAACTGGTACATCGTGAATCTCTCACCGATCAGCTCCTGCCGAGTTCACGGGTAAACTTATGTTAATCTGCTGAAAAAAAATTGACATAACAGCGTGGCCCTTCTTCTTCTTCTTGTTCGCATTTCAAGCTTATTGCTTAGCGCATATTAGCTTATTGCGTGCTCTCAACTTAGTGTTCTAAAATGCACTTCCACAGTTATTAATTGAGAGCTTTCGATGCCAATACCAATGCATGAATTTGTATATTGTGTGGCAAGCACAATGATACTCTATGCCCAGGGAAGTCGAGAAAATTTCCAACCCGAAAGATTCCCTCGACCGGACCGGGAATCGAACCCGCTGCCTCCGGCTTGGTAATACCGTGCCTTTACTGACTAGGCTATGAGGCCCCCTAACAGCGTGGCCCTGTTTACTGTAAATGAATACCGGAATAATGCTCGCGTAACATTTGAACAGGAGCTATCAACTTTTGTAAACAATTTGCTACACTGTTAAATATCGACACATATTTATTGGTAATTTTCCATGTAAAAGATCACATGATTTTCATGTGTCCACACATAAACAGAATCCACACATGATATTTATGAGTCAAATGAATAGTATGTGTGATTACACATGAATTTGATGTGTACACATAAGATCATTTGTTTATCACATTGCAAAAATTCATGTGTGGGACACAAAAATTCGCATTGAATTTTTATTAGTGTAGGCCCTTTTCACAAGAACCGATGTACATCCTACCCGATGGTGTTGTAAGTTTGCGTAGACGTATTCGGTTCACGCGAAAATGGCTTAACAAGTTTTGTGTACAAAAGTTGATAGGCCCGTCTCAAATGTTACGCGAGTAATATTCAGGTGTTCATTTTAAGAAAACAGGGCCCCGCTGTTGTGTCACTTTTTATCGAGTGAGTGAACTCAAATCCATCCGTGCACTCGTCTATTGGGGGTGCCGTAGGCAGTGATGCCACAATTGTTCGAATTTAACTCGCGTAACATTTGAAAATGACCTATCCTCGTTGATCGATTCTTTTCATCGACTTTCTCTTTTATTAACCACGGCAACATAAATTAATTTCTCGCTAAGCTCACAAGACAGTTCGACAGAAGATGATGTTAGCTTTATAGTCGCTATATTCATAGCATGCCGGATAGAATCTCGCGAACCAATTGAGCTGTCAAATAGCTGTTTGACCAATTGAGCTGTCAAAACACGACCAACAACAGAAAAGAGCATATCAGCTATTGCGAATAAAATTTTCGGAACCCGTTTTCTCGTGACTTAAGGTTCGCCTACGCAAACTAACACCATCTTTGGGGAAAATTTCCTCTATCCGATGATGCCGGTAATTTGCGTTCGATTGGCGAGGAAAGAATAATCAACGTTTTGTTTATAAAACTTGATAGTACCATTTCAAATGTTGGTCTACAATATTTTGAATTTGTTCCGCTTTTTGATAGATTGAAATTCTATCCGCCAGACTATAAATATAGCGACTATAGTTAGCTTGCGCCTGAATCAACACACTGAATGGGAAATTCAATTGCAGTCGGGTTATTCGCGAAAGAGAGAATCGGGTTGATTGATTATTTAATTTTATTGTTCCGTCAAATATTATTGCAATATAATAAGATTGTATATAATAAGATTGTGCATAAAGTATGTAGAGCGCAATAAAGCAGATTAAGTATAAAGTCATAAAGCTCCAGTTGTAAGCCAAGAAAAAAGAAAGTGATTTATATACACTTCGCACTACGTAAATCTTATATCAGCTCCTCATAGATAAGCCACAATAATATCTTAAAAATATTGTCATGTTAGAAAATTAACGTGAAAACATAAATCAATTGATTATTGAATTATAATTGCTGTTCAATTGAGCAGTGCAGAAACTGAGACCAGTAAAATAAAAATATCCATTCAGGCCTCGTATATCTATGGATAATATCAAAAACGAGATTATAGTGGGTAACAAAGGTTCTATTCACCTGCCCGGTGGATCAATGTGGGTTTTTAGTATTATATTTTGAACAATCGTTAAAAAGAATACTTTTATCATTTTTCCTTGATCGGTATTGATCAATCCAATCCATTTAATGTAGTATGTGATAAAACTGGAATAAAACTTCTACTCCTAAGGTGATTCACATATCTGATTTTGCTGATTGCATTTAAAACTGGGCCAATTGGTCCTGGCAATGCTTTACACCGGTCACCAGGAGGTTGTTACATAACACACACTTCAACGACCTTCCTGAAACTCTGAGAACTTTCAAATCATTCAGCCACTCTCCGAAATTACAGTAGTTTCTCGATCTTCAGCATTCCTTGAAACTCTTGGGAACTCAAAAAAAAAATCCGGTGCTCAAGGAAGACAAAAACCTGTTGAACTCTTTCAGAACTCCAGAAGCTTCTGAAACTGCAGCAAACTGTAGAACTCTTGGGAACTCCGGTACTCTGAGAATTTTCTTCTTATAGGTTTTCTTCTTTTTCGTCTTCTTATTACTATTATTCTTCTTCGTCAAATTTCAAGCATATTAGATTATTGCGTGCTCTCAGCTTAGTGTTCTAGATGCACTTGATGCATTAATTGAGAGCTTTCGATGCCTGTACCATTTGTGCATTAGTATATGTAATTGTGTGGAACTGGAAAGTATAGTCATACTTCCCGCACGGCCAATCAGAACGACTCAGCGACTGAATTCAATTAATTCAGAAATTTACTCATATATGGAAAAACCTGGAGGAATTTCGTATTGAAAATTTCGTATGGAAAGAAAATGCTCTGAATTCAGTCGCTGATTCGTTCTGATTGACCGTGCAGAGAAGTCGAAACATTTTCCAGCCCGAAAAATTCCTAGACTGGACCGGGAATCGAACCAAGTCACCTCCACCAGCATGGTCTAGCTTTGTAGCTGTGCCTTTAGACTGAGCTAAGGGGGCCCCTTGTTCATTTCCAGGAACACTAACAACGGCAAGAACTCTCCGAACTCGATGATAGCTCCAAATGTATAAACTATCACGTTGTCAATCTGTTTATACAGTTGCTAGAACTCGCTAATTTTCTGATTTAAATTAGCAATACTATTTTCACTCCAACGTTTTCCACCAAATGACTTTTGTGTTCTTTCACCTGTGCATCCTTTCCCAGATTTTAATTGGACAGAGAGAAGCAGCCACAGCAAAAGTTATAATTGAATTTTCTCCCATTTGAGGGGTCTCATCGCCGTCAGCGCTGGCTGGCACGCTGGTTTGCGTCATCACTGCGAAGGGGTTTTGTTCTTTCTTCCACCAAACGCTGCAGCTGGAACGATGTAATTATAGGACTGGATGGTGGTCTAACTGTCTATCTTGCAATCGAAAGAAGCCGGTATATTCAAAATTTATTACATCATATCGGTTTGAGAATGGCTTTTGACGGGTTTGATGAAGGATTAGTGTGGCGCAAAATTGACAGCAGATGCCCTGCTAGTAGCGGGCTTGATAATCGGAATCTAAACAGCAACTGCCTTTATAATAAAGTTTAAACACTGTTTAGATTTATCTACTTACGTCAATCTGTTCACTTTCCCAGCTTTCATCGAGCGGATTCCGACCTACGGCAATCTGTTTCGGCTCTCACCCCTCTCCGGGCAAATCTGCGTTGATGTTGATATGTTATCTAGCGAGCGAAAAAGCAGGTTAATTAATTGAATCTCGAGCTTGATGTAGGCTCATATTCAGATTCACATACCGAGTAGAAAGGGGGATGATGGGATCTATATCACATCATCCATCGCGTCTAGTTATTCATAGGGTGACTGGTTCTATTTTGGTCCAATGAGTTTTTTTTTATGAATCATGTGAAGTGCTCTAAACTCTAGTTAGCAAAACGATTTCGGACATTGCAGTTAATGCTCTAACTAAATAATAGCCCCAATACAAGTTCGATAACCCTACTCGTTCAACGAAGTGCGCGAGCGAGCACGGACGATTAGGTCCCATCATCGTTTCACCCGCAGTCAGTGGTTCGGAAACAGCAAACATAAAAGAAGGTAGACTGACTGTCGTGTTCTACTGCGGGCATGTATGATTGATGAATAGGTTCCTGTTGCTGCTGCTGCCCTGCGGGTCCATCCGACCATCGAAGTTTGAGCTTTATTCGCGCGACTGCTGACTGTGCTCTTCATCCATCCATCCATCCATCCGTCAATGGGATTTCAAGGGCGCTTACTATCCATAGGGGGAGAATCTCTCTGGTTTTCCGTTCGACTAATCTAATCGTGGTCCCTCTGTTCCATTTATTTTTTTGCTTTTCTATCAAACCAGCTAAGGCCAACTACAGCGAGTCGGACAAAGAGCACAGACTGGAACTGGACGTGGGCGATTCGGTGGTCATTCTACAGGAAGCTGCCAACTGGTACTACGGATATAACAGAAGGTAGGTCGTTTTTGCTTTCGATTTCATCTAGTTACTAGGTCATTTTTTGTATTCGGTGCATTACGGTACTTAAGCTGTGTGAATTAAAGTTTATTTTTTAATTGAGGCCGGAGTAACTTCAGTTTAATTTCTATAAATCACATATGTATGCGTTTTTGTAATTATATCACTGATCTATTTTTGCATAAAATCGTATTATTTGGATACCAATCGAAAGCGAAACGTCAGGGCTTTCATTTGGCAAGTAACAGCAAGTTTAACGGGAACTTGATCATAATTGCTTTGTGATATAAGGAGCTCGGTGGCCTAGTGGCGACCGATTTTGCAGTTTGCTAGTGCTAGTTTTACATTACAGATGATCTAGCAGTAACGGAGTTGCATCAACGGGCGGTCAATCATGCTCATGTTCATCGTTGGTAGCCAAGAAGAGCTGTTCAAGTACAATAATTTTACTGAAAACAACTCACAGCTTTGACTAATAGTTTAGGCGTAAATAGTTTTCCCTACTTCAGATCTCGAAATTTATTTCCTTTTCAAATAATCTTTCGCGTAAAATGACTTATTACTATCATGCTGAAGACAGCATATCGAAAAGACTGACAACTTTGCCAGGATCAAACACAGTACGATTCTTCAGTCTTCTTGATATGTTATCTTCCTTCTAAGATCGCATACGAAGTATCAAACCTCCTTTTCCCCTCTCTCTCTTTCTCTCTCTCTCTCTCTCCCTCCCGATTACAGTCGCCCGCAGGTGCACGGAATCTTTCCCAAGTGCTACGTCCATGTCGTCGACAGCCGGATAGCCAAGGGCGGCGAACTGGTCGTAGCTCGAAGTGAAATAGTCGAAGAGATCACAATCGTACTGAAGGAGTGGCAGCACCTCTACCGGAGGTTCTACCTGTACACGCATCCGGATTTCAAGGCCATACGGCTGAAAATGCTGGAGCTAATTCGATTGCGGTCGCAGCTCCTCTCCGGCAATCTACCCGTGGACGAAATGAAAGACATCAAACTGAAGGCCACCTCGGAGATCGACACCGGAAACAAGATTCTCCGGCTGGACATGGTGGTTCGGGACGAGTGTGGAAATATTCTGAACATCGAGCGGACGTCTACGACGCAGCTGTACGAGCACCACCTGAATGCGGTCGATCGGATCAAGCGGGCCAGTGTAAGTATGCTTCCCATTCATGCCATTACTGTGTTTTCTATTTGTGTGTGTGTGTGTGTGTTGATCTTGCAGACTTCAACCAGTAAAAATCGCATCGTGGAAACGATGAACCGTCACTCGCACAATCTCCTACTGTCGGTTCACAATTTCGTGTGTCGACTGTGCGAGGATACGGAGATCCTGTTCACGTTGTACGATGGAGAAGAGATGCGAGCCATCACAGAGAACTACGTAGTCAAGTGGAGTCGGCAGGGCGTAGCTGCCGATCTGGATCAGTTCAACAACATCAAAGTGCTGTTTACGGATCTCAGTGGGAACGATCTTAGCCGGAATAGGATATTCCTGGTGGCGTACGTGGTTCGAATAGGGGCCATGGAGGGTAAGGATACCGATTCGAGACGAAGTAGTATGGCGAACTCGTCGAATACGGGAAGTGTGAAAAGCAAGAGTCAATTGACGAATCAGATGAGTACTCCGGCAAGTCCGGGGGGCCCGGGTGGAACCGGTTCAACGGGTGGGACTTCGGTGAACGAACAGCAAATGAGAAGACCGTTCGGTGTGGCTTCGCTGGATTTGAAGCCCATTATCAAGAGGTCGGAAGATTTCAAAAGTGATACCCAATTGAAGATGCCATTCATTCCTTGTGAGAAGGAATCGCTCGAGAGTACGCTGCGGAAGCTGATCAGCAACAAGGATCTAGGAGATAAGAGTGACGCGGCAATTTGGATCAGCGTGGATATCCTGCATGGGGATATCAAGCAGGTCAAGGAGGAGTATCCACATTTGGTACTGGGAAATGTGGCATTCGCGCGGAAGATGGGATTTCCGGAAGTGATCTTCCCAGGGGACGTTCGAAACGATCTCTACCTAACGCTAGTCGGTGGTGAGTTTTCCAAAGGCTCCAAGAGCAGTGATAAGAACATCGAGGTTACGGCGATGGTGTGCAATGCGGATGGGGTAGCGATTCCGGGGGTGATCTGCTACGGGGGTGGGGGATATGCTCTGAATGAGTACAAATCGGTGATCTACTACCATGAAGATAAGCCCAAGTGGAACGAGACATTCAAGATCGATGTGCCAATCGAGGAGTTCAAGCAGTGCCATTTGAGGTTTACATTCAAGCACCGGAGTTCGAATGAAGCCAAAGACCGGAGTGAGAAGCCTTTTGCGTTGTCATACGTGAAGTTGATGAACGACGATGGGACCACGTTGCAACATAAGAGACATCAGCTGTTGGTGTACAAGATCGATCACAAGAAGTTCGATCAGGATTCGCAGTACAACTATCTGCAGTTGCCCGCCTTGATAGAGGAGTTGGCCAACATCAGCGGGGGAAAACCATCGATGAGTGGGTTCAGTTTGGCTTCGAAGGATAGCTTCACGATCGAGACGAATCTGTGCAGCACGAAGCTAACGCAGAACGTGGACATTTTGGGCTTACTGAATTGGTCTTCCAAGAAGGACAAAATGGAGGAATCGCTGAATGCGCTGATGAATGTCAAGGGCGAAGAGGTGGTCAAGTTCTTGCAGGACATTCTGGATGCATTGTTCAACATTTTGGTGCTGAACGACGACGCATCCAAGTACGACAACCTGGTGTTCAAGTGTTTGCTGCGGTTGATCGAAATCGTGTACGATCTCAAGTATCAGCACTTCCAATCGGTGCTGGATCTCTACATCAACGAGAGCTTCTCGGCGACGTTGGCCTATGAGTGAGTTGGGGTTTTTGGATGAGGTCTTCGATCTTTTAATGACTGCTTATTTTTCCCCCCAGAAAACTGATCAACGTAGTTCAGACCCACATCAAGAATGCAATCAACAACGTCAGCAGCGAGCGATCGAGTTCGATCAGTACCTACGCCGTCAACGAGAACGACGAAACCCTCTTCCGAACCACCAAGTATCTGCAGTATATCATGAAGTTTATCATCCGGTCGCGAATTTTATTCTCCGATCTGAACCAAGGCAAAGATCGCGAACTGTTCGAAACCATGTTGGAAGATTTGCTGGAGTCCTTCATCGAGCTGATCAAGTATCAGAATGATCTGCTGAAATCGCAGGGTGCTTTACTAAAGTATCTGCACATCATCACCTCCGATCTGATGCAGGTCTACGATCCGATCAAGCTCAGCCAACGAATCGTGGATATCATTACGAACGTTCCGACGGGCCGTTTGAATCAATCCAAGATGACCTGCATCAAGGACGTGGTGGACTCCAAACTCTTCAAACTGCCCCAGTGTCGAGCGATTTTACTGCCCGTGTTCTGCCGGCAGATCAAGGACAAGCTCGAGAGTAAGGAAGAGGTAAGTTCTTCGCTTTAGACTGCTATGCTTATTATATTCATAAGAGGATTGCTGCATGAGATTCAATGTGATCGTGATCGTGTCCATGTGTCATACATTCTATTGCACTGCAGAATTCAGCGAAGCACATTATCTTACCTCTGCATCCTGCCTTTTGATTTAAATATGTTTTCATGGTTTTGTTTGTCCTCAACTAAGACCGAATTTACGTTCTTTGTTTGTGTTTGCTGTCTTGTCGCGTGCCATCATCGCTGTGCGCCTGTGTCTTGCGTCTTCCTGTGTTCCAACGATTGCCTACCTTTCTATTCTCTGTGTGTATTTACATGTGAACTCACTGCATACCATTATATCATCATCCGCATAAAGTCAGCATCATCCTAACATTTAAGGGAAAAGGTCGTCATCCTGGCTGCTCACACCTGCATCGCACATCGCTTCCATCGGTAGACACGGAAGCAATTCACACCTTCAAAACGGCGGATCGCGTCCGCTGATTCTAGAAAGCATCTGTTCGGAAGGAAAGTGTAAATATCGTAGTTAGAACAATTAATCCCATTGTCATCGTTCCCGATGTGGTCGTTGTCCTTTCCTTTTAGTCATCGTAAAGTTCGTAGAATCACATTCATCAGTAACTAGGTACCTGTACTAACTATCATTAATCACTTTCCTGTCTAGTGTTAAAAATACTGCTAAAAATTGTCTCGGGATTTTTCTCAAAATTCCCTTGCAACTTTCTTCAGATTTCCCTTGAATCTTACATCTGTTTCAATTTCCTTATTCTCCTCAAAATTCCCTTTGAATTCGCTAGGAATTTTCCACAGATTTTGACTGAAATTCTCCTCAGATTTCCCGATGAATTCTTCTCAAACTTTCCTCAAGATTTTCCTCAGAATTTCTTTGAGATAATCCTCAGAATTCCCTTGAGTCCCTCCTAAGTATTCCCTTAAAATTCTTCTAAGAATTCCCATAGATATCTCCTCAGAATATTCTTGGGATTCTCCAAACATTTGTCTTGAAATGCTCCTCAGAGTTCTATTGAGATTCTCCCCAGAATTCTTTTGGAATTTTTCCAAGAGTAACCTTCAAATACTTTCAAAAATTCCTTAAAATTCTCTTTCGAATTATACTGGAATTCTCTATAAATTATTTAAATTTATTAAAAATTCACTTGGAATTCTCTTGAGATTGCCCTTAGAATTTCCTTGCAATTATCATAAGAATTGGCTCCTAATAATTCCCTTTAAATTCTGCCCAGAATTCCCTCGGAAGTCTCCTCAGATTTCTCTTGAGATTTTCCAGGGGTTTTGCTTGAAATTCTTCTCAGAATTCCCTTGAAAATCTCCCCAGAATTCTCGTGGAATTCTTCTCAGAATTCCCTTTAGATACTCCACAAAATTCCCTCGAAATTCTCCTCAGAATTCCTTTGGGATTTCCAAACATTTTCCTTGAAATTCTCCTCAGAGGGATTCTTTTTTAGAATTTTTCTAAGAGTAATCTTCAAATAATAACAAAAATTCCTTAAAATCCTCCTCCGAATTATATTGGAAATCTCTAGAAATTAAATTACAATTCTCAGAATCTATTTGGAATTCTGTTGGGATTGCCCTCAAAAATCCCTTGTAATTCTTCTCAGAATTACTTTGGGATTCACCTCAGAATTTTCTTGGAACTGTCCTCAAATTTTTTTCGGAGTTTTTCTTATAATTTCCTTGGAATTACCTTCAGAGTTCCCTTGGCATTATCCTTAGAATTACCTTGGGATTCTTCTCAGAATTCCCTTGGGATTCGTCACAGAATTCCCTTGGGATTCTTCTCAGAATTTGCTTGGGATTCTTCTCAGAATTCCCTTGGGATTCTTCTCAGAATTCCCTTGGGATTCTTCTCAAAATTTCCTTGGGATTCTTCTCAGAATTCCCTTGGGATTCTTCTCAGAATTCTCTTGGGATTCTTCTCAGAATTCCCTTGGGATTCTTCTCAGAATTCCCTTGGGATTCTTCTCAGAATTCCCTTGGGATTCTTCTCAGAATTCCCTTGGGATTCTTCTCAGAATTCCCTTGGGATTCTTCTCAGAATTCCCTTGGGATTCTTCTCAGAATTCCCTTGGGATTCTTCTCAGAATTCCCTTGGGATTCTTCTCAGAATGCCCTTGGGATTCTTCTCAGAATTCCCTTGAGATTCTTCTCAGAATTCCCTTGGGATTCTTCTCAGAATTCCCTTGGAATTCTTCTCAGAATTCCCTTGGGATTCTTCTCAGAATTCCCTTGGGATTCTTCTCAGAATTCCCGGGGGATTCTTCTCAGAATTCCCGGGGGATTCTTCTCAGAATTCCCTTGGGATTCTTCTCAGAATTCCCTTGGGATTCTTCTCAGAATTCCCTTGGGATTCTTCTCAGAATTCCCGGGCGATTCTTCTCAGAATTCCCTTGGGATTCTTCTCAGAATTCCCTTGGGATTCTTCTCAGAATTCCCTTGGGATTCTTCTCAGAATTCCCTTGGGATTCTTCTCAGAATTCCCTTGGGATTCTTCTCAGAATTCCCTTGGGATTCTTCTCAGAATTCCCTTGGGATTCTTCTCAGAATTCCCTTGGGATTCTTCTCAGAATTCCCTTGGGAGTCTTCTCAGAATTCCCTTGGGATTCTTCTCAGAATTCCCTTGGGATTCTTCTCAGAATTCCCTTGGGATTCTTCTCAGAATTCCCTTGGGATTCTTCTCAGAATTCCCTTGGGATTCTTCTCAGAATTCCATTGGGATTCTTCTCAGAATTCCCTTGAGATTCTTCTCAGAATTCCCTTGAGATTCTTCTCAGAATTCCCTTGAGATTCTTCTCAGAATTCCCTTGGAATTCTTCTCAGAATTCCCTTGGGATTCTTCTCAGAATTCCCTTGGGATTCTTCTCAGAATTCCCTTGGGATTCTGCTCAGAATTCCATTGGGATTCTTCTTAGAATTCCCTTGGGATTCTTCTCAGAATTCCCTTGGGATCCTTCTCAGAATTCCCTTGGGATCCTTCTCAGAATTCCCTTGGGATTCTTCTCAGAATTCCCGGGGGATTCTTCTCAGAATTCCCTTGGGATTCTTCTCAGAATTCCCTTGGGATTCTTCTCAGAATTCCCTTGGGATTCTTCTCAGAATTCCCTTGGGATTCTTCTCAGAATTCCCTTGGGATTCTTCTCAGAATTTCCTTGGGATTCTTCTCAGAATTCCCTTGGGATTCTTCTCAGAATTCCCTTGGGATTCTTCTCAGAATTCCCTTGGGATTCTTCTCAGAATTCCCTTGGGATTCTTCTCAGAATTCTCTTGGGATTCTTCTCAGAACTCCCTTGGGATTCTGTTCAGAATTCCCTTGGAATTCTACTCAGAATTTCCTTGGGATTCTACTCAGAATTCCCTTGGGATTCTTATTAGAATTCCCTTGGGATTCTTCTCAGAATTCTCTTGGGATTCTTCTCAAAACTCCCTTGGGATTCTACTCAGAATTCCCTTGGAATTCTACTCAGAATTTCCTTGGGATTCTACTCAGAATTCCCTTGGGATTCTACTCAGAATTCCCTTTGGATTCTTCTCAGAATTCCCTTGGGATTCTTCGCAGAATTCCCTTGGGATTCTTCTCAGAATTTCCTTGGGTTTCTTCTCAGAATTCCCTTGGGATTCTTCTCAGAATTCCCTTGGGATTCTTCTCAGAATTTACTTGGGATTCTTCTCAGAATTCCCTTGGGATTCTTCTCAGAATTCTCTTGGGATTCTTCTCAGAACTCCCTTGGGATTCTTCTCAGAATTCCCTTGGGATTCTGCTCAGAATTCCCTTGGGATTCTGCTCAGAATTCCCTTGGGATTCTGCTCAGAATTCCCTTGGGATTCTGCTCAGAATTCCCTTGGGATTCTGCTCAGAATTCCCTTGGGATTCTGATCAGAATTCCCTTGGGATTCTGATCAGAATTCTCTTGGGATTCTGCTCAGAATTCCCTTGGGATTCTGCTCAGAATTCCCTTGGGATTCTGCTCAGAATTCCCTTGGGATTCTGCTCAGAATTCTCTTGGGATTCTTTTCAGAATTCCCTTGGGATTCTGCTCAGAATTCCCTTGGGATTCTGTTTAGAAGTCCCTTGGGATTCTTCTCAAAATTCCCTTGGGATTCTTCTTAGAATTCCCTTGGTATTCTTCTCAGAATTCCCGGGGGATTCTTCTCAGAATTCCCTTGGGATTCTTCTTAGAATTCCCGGGGGATTTTTCTCAGAACTCCCGGAGGATTCTTCTCAGAATTTTCTTGGGATTCTTCTCACAATTCCCTTAGGATTCTTCTCAAAATTCCCTTGGGATTCTTCTCAGAATTCCCTTGGGATTCTTCTCAGAATTCCCTTGGGATTCTTCTCAGAATTCCCGGGGGATTCTTCTCAGTATTCCCTTGGGATTCTTCTCAGAATTCCGTTGGGATTCTTCTTAGAATTCCCTTGGGATTCTTCTCAGAATTCTCTTGGGGTTCTTCTCAGAATTTCCTTGGATATTTTATCAGAATTCCCTTGGGATTCTTCCCAGGATTCCTTTGGCATTCGTCTCAGAATTTCCTTTGGAATTTTATCAGAATTCCCTTGGGATTCATCTCAGAATTCCCTTGAGATTCTTCTCAGAATTCTCTTGAGATTCATCTCAGAATTCCCTTGGGATTCTTCTCAGAATTCCCTTGGGATTCTTCTCAGAATTCTCGGGCGATTCTTCTCAGTATTCCCTTGGGATTCTTCTCAGAATTCCGTTGGGATTTTCTTAGAATTCCCTTGGGATTCTTCTCAGAATTCTCTTGGGGTTCTTCTCAGAATTCCCTTGGGATTCTATTCAAAATTATCTTGGAATTCTTCTCAGAATTTCCTTGCGATTCTTCTCAGAATTCCCGGGGGATTCTTTTCAGAATTACCGGAGGATTCTTCTCAGAATTACCAGAAGATTCTTCTCAGAATTCCCGGGAGATTCTTCTCATAATTCCCAGGGGATTCTTCTCAGAATTCCCTTGGGATTCTTCTCAGAATTCCCGAGGGACTCTTCTCAGAATTTCCGGGGGATTCTTCTCAGCAGTCCCAGAATTCACCTGGAATTGTCGACAGAATTGCCTTGGAATTTTCCACAGAATTACCTTGGGATTTTTCACAGAATTCTCTTAGAATTCTTCTAAAAATTCATTTAGAATGCTCCTCAGAATTGTATTGTATTTTTCTCAAAAAAATTTCTCAGAATTCGCTTGGAATTCACCTCAAGATGAGAAATTTCAATGATCAATGTTTTTTGTAGAGCAATATGGTGGACAAAAAGTAAATCTTCCCAGTCAGTTTTTAATCGAATGAGTTCAAATTTTGGGACGAGCGTATGTGTTAGTTTTGTGCTTGGAAAACAAAGGTTTTACGAACCCCCAATGTTACTTACTTGCTAAGCTATCATTTCATTCCCATCTTCATAAGATATAGGCAAAAGTTGAAACACTGCGTTTTAATGTTTAGAAATAGCCTCAATTAGAATTCCACGCCCCAGTTGTATTGATGTTCTAACCCATTCCCACTATCTCATTTGATCGTTCACTAAACTAGTTAAAACCCTTGTTAACTAACCGACGGTGTTTGGCGTTCTTGTTACTAACGTTACGCGCTTCTAACCCTACTGAGATAAACTTCAATTTTAACACATTTGTATTTCTTTTTCCCTTTTCCCACTGTTCTAAAACAATTTCCACACTTCCCCGATTCCTATGATCAAATAAACGTGTTCGAATTAACCTTCATGGTGGTCGGAAATCTGTGGTTACTATGGTTCCTGTTCCGTTGGCTCATCAACATCCACATGCCTACTACCACCACACTAAATAAAACCATCTTTATGACCACCATTTTGGATTGGCTAAATCGCGCTTACCCCGTTCCGTTTCCTCTGATCGACAACAACCCCAACAAACGACCGACCAAACCGCTTTCCGCGTTGCTCATCTGTGTGCGTTTGGCTCTGGCGCTGCGCTAAAATATGCTAAATACTACTACTACACACGCAAACCACCCCGTCACGTGTTTGCAACATTTCATTTTTGCTGGTGTGTTTGTGTGCGTTTGTCTTTACGCCCTACTAAAATCGAACCAAACGAATCAAACGAATAAACGACGCCAGGGCGAATTTATGTTCGACATCCGGCAGCAGGAGAAAAATCTAATCAAGGCGGCCAAGGTCCTCGGGGAGAGCAAGTCACAGCTGCACACGCGCGAAACCACCGCCAAGACGAAGGTATTTATCTCTATTGTGTCGTCAGTGCACACTAATATACACAAGAACATTAAACGGCTCATGATATTCAGTATCGTACATACAAACACACACTCATATAACTAAATATGCAGGAAGTAAGCAGGCTTTGTGATTGTGTGTTGCAGTTAACGCTGAGAGTGTGAGTGCTTTTCGGCTTTTAGTTTGCGGTTTGTGAGTGTGTGCGCTTGCGTGTGTGTGTGTGTGTGCGCGTGAAGAAAAGGCTGCGTGCTTTTCAGTGTGCGTTTTCATTATCGATGGAATTTGAACATATTTTTTTCCGTGTGCGAATTTTAACTCTATTCTTCATATTTTTTAATCGTGTATGTATCAACAATGACTGTTCAAATATTGTTTTGGGAAATCGGTGAGATTGAAGGCTCTTCATAACTGGTGCGAAGCAGTAAGCTTAGGGAATTTTCAGGACCAATTTGGAGAAGTTTATGGAAAGATTCAGTTACCTTTACGACAATTTTGAATAGATTTTTTCCCTTTCGGGTCATAATCATTGCGACCAATACATTGATAATTTGTGATATGTCCGTTTTCTTTGTTTAGTATATGGTAGTTGTATTCGATTTCGATACAGTTAAATCATACGTACTTGCCCATACATAAATTAAGCAATCGACTAAATTTTCAATAGCGTCCAAAAATATCCATAAGTACCGTCCCAATTAAGCGTTCATCTAGATAAAATTGATAAATAGCAGATTTTTAGCGATGGGCCCAATCTTAGATCCAAAGGTCAACATTAGAGACATTTCCCCTATTCCTCCAAAACTTCAATGGAATCATTTGTTAAATTTCTGCTCAGGAATGAATAATCAGGGTTATTCTGCGTAGCGAATGAGGTGATACGACAATTGTCACCTCGCAGTCACATGACTCTTCTCACTCTATTCCGACAGTCGACTCGGGTGACGTGAGAGGTTCATTCTTAGGTGAGTTGCAAAGTGACTCGGTGTTCATTCGCCGAAATGTCAGTTTGCTTTGTTTTTCGAAAAGAGCCTACGCAGTTTTTGTAGGTTCATTTATCAGTTTAATCGCAGGTTTTTATTTTTTACTATAAACATGCGTTTCGAGTCGTATTCCATGTCAAACAAGGTAGATTAAAATATTTTATTTTCTTCTTAAACATAATCCGCGTTCAAATGTTCGAAATCATGCATAAAAATATCATTAAAATGAATTGTAAATGTTCGGTCTGTGCTAGACCCTTTCAGTTTTAGCTGTTTGTTGTTTTCGATTGCGAGCGAAGATTTTTTTTCCGATCGTGTTTTTTTTTTAATTATTAATACACTGGAACCTTCATTTACGAACCAAACCGGCGCGGCGGTTCGTAAATCGAACCAGACGTAACAAAAACCCACACACCAAAAAATTATGAATTTTAATGGTGATGTAAATATCCATGCATGCTAAAATTGAAGCATGTAAACTTCCTTTTCACGTAAACTAGCAACTTGCTAGAAATATTGCTTACAAAGATGGATGGTTGCATACAATATTTAGAATATTCCATTATATGGCTCATAAATTTACACGATTTGTAATGTGAATTTGTATGATATGTGACGCTCCATTTATGTGCACTACTACTTTTTCGAACCGTGCATTACTTGGGATTTATTTCATAAAAAAGTTTTTCGAAAATATTATCAAATACCCCACAATATGGGTATTTTTGGTATCGGGGTGACGTGCACGGACCGGACATCGATGTCTGGGGCCGTTTTGAAATTTAAGATGGCGGCTTCCGGTTAGGGAAATACTACCAAATCACTCACAATATTGGGTATTTTTTAAAATCTTGGTGACGTGTAGGGACCGGAAAACCATGTCTGACGCCTTTTTCAAGCTTCCGGGTGGAGAAAAACCTTGGGAATTCTGTGAAAAACATCTCAATGTGGGTATTTTTGAAATCTTGATGACGTGTAGGGACCGGAAGCCTATGTCTGGCGTCTTTTTCAAATTCTATATGGCTTCCGGTTGGGAAAAAACTCGGAATTTTTGTCAAATATCCCACAATATTGGTATTTTTGGAGTCGGGGTGACGTGTAAGGACCGTAAATCGATGGCTGAGGCCTTTTTGAAATTCAATATGGCGACTTCCGGTTAGAGAAAAACTGCCAAATTACCCACAATATGGGTATTTTTGGAATCTTGGTGACGTGTAGGGACCGGAAATAGATGTCTGACACCATTTTAAATTCAATATGCCAGCTTCCGGTTGGATAAAAGCTGGGAAATACTGCCAAATTACCCATAATATGGGTATTTTAAGAGTCTTGATGACGTGTAGGAACCGGAAATCGATATACGAGGCCGTTTTGAAATTCAAGAAGGCGGCTTCCGGTTAGAGAAAAACTTGAAAATTCTGTCAAATTCCTCTCAATATGGGTATTTTTGGAATCTTGGTAACGTTTAGGGCCTTGAAACCCATGTCTGGCACCATTTTGAAATTCAATATGCCAGCCTTCGGTTAAAGAAAAACTTGGAAATACTGCAAAATTACCCACAATATGAGTATTTTGGAATCTTGGTGACGTGTAGGGACCGGAAATAGATGTCTGAAGTTTTTTTGAAATTCAATATGGCGGCTTCCGGTTGGAGAAAAGCTTGGAAATGTTGTCAAATATCCCACAATATTGGTACTTTTGGAGTCGGAGTGACGTGTAAGGGCCGGAAATCGATGTCTGCGGCCATTTTTGAATTCAAGATGGTGGCTTCCGGTTGGTGAAAAACTAAAAAAATATGTCAAATACCTCCTCTATATGGGTATTTTCGGAATCTTGGTGAAGTGTAAGGACTGGAAACCCATGTCTGACACCATTTTGAATTCAATGTGCCAGCTTCTGGTTAGAGAAAAGCTGGGAAGTACTGCCAAATTACCCACAATATGGGTATTTTTGGAGTCTTAATGACGTGTAGGGACCGAAAATAGATGTATGAGGCCGTTTTGAAATTCAAGATGGCCGCTTCCAGCTAGAGAAAAATTTAGAAATTTTGTGAAATACCTCACAATATTTATATGTTTAGAGTCAGGGTGACGTGTAAGAACCGGAAATCGATGTCTGGATATCTGAGGCCCTTTTAAAATTTAATATGGCATCTTCCGGTTAGAGAAAAATTAGGAAATGCTGTCATATTCCTCTCAATATGGGTATTTTTGGAATCATGGTAACGTGTAGAGACTTGAAACCCGTGTCTGACACCATTTTGAATTCAATATGGCGGCTTCCAGTTGGAGAAAAAATGGGAAATACTGTAAAATTATCCACATTATGGGTATTTTTGGAATCAAGGTGACGTGTAGGGACCGGTAACCCATGTCAGACGCCATATAAATTACATATGGCGGCTTGCGGTTAGCGGAAAACTGGGAAATTCTGCCAAATTCCCCTCAATATGGGTATTTTTGGAATCGTGGTGACGTGTAGGGACCAAAAACCATGTCTGACGCCATTATTAAATTCAATATGGTGACTTCCGGTTAGAGAAAAACTGGGATATACTGCCAAATTAGCCACAACATGGGTATTTTTGGAATCTTGGTAACGTGTAGGGACCGGACATCGATGTCTGAGGCCGTTTTGAAATTCAATATGGCGGCTTCCAGTTGGAGAAAACTTGGAAATTCTGTCAAATACCCCTTACTATGGGTATTTTTGGAAACGCGGTGCCGTATATCGACCGGAAATCCAAGCCCGGTGCCATTTGGATATCCAAGATGGTGGCTTCCGGTTAAATAAAAACTGGGATATTCTGTCATATACACCGCCTTATGAGTATTTCAGGAATCTTGATGACGTGTTGGGACCGGAGATCGATGTCTCCCGCCTTTTTTGAAATTCCAGTTACAGTTGAAAAATACTATCAAATACCCCTCAATATGGGTATTTTTGCTTGTTGTGATGTGTAGAGACATTTTGAATTCAATATGGTGGTTTCTGTTCGAGAAAAACTTAGTTCTGTCAAATTGAGGGGTAAATATGGGTATTTTTGGAATCGGAGTGACGTGTAAGGACGGAAGACCCATCCGTATTTTTCTATTTTTCGGTATTCGGAAGCCACCAAATTGGATTTCAAAAGGCGTCAGACATTGCCTTCCGGGCTCTACACGTCACCTCGATTCCAAAAATATCCAGTATTTGACAGTGTTTCCAAGTTTTTCTTCTACCGGAACCCACCATCATGGATTTCAACATAGCCTCAGGCATGAATTTCCGGTCTCTACACATCAACACAATTCCAAAAATAATCATGTTGAAGGATATTTGACAGCATTTTTATATTTTCCTCTACCTGGAAACTGCCATTTGGATTTCAAAAAGGCGTCCGATATGGATTTACGGACTCTGCACGTCACCCCGATTCCAAAAATACCCATATTGTAGAGTATTTGACAGAATTTTCAGGGTTTTCTCCAACCGGAAGCTGCCATCTTGAATTTCAAAACGGACTCAGACATCGATTTCCGGTTCTCACATGTCTGCCCAACTCCAAAAATACCTATATAGTGGGGTATTTGACAGAATTTCCAAGTTTTATAGTTCACCAATCGGAAGCCGCCATTTTGGATGGCAGAAAGACATCAGACATAGTTTTCCGGTCCCTACACGTCACCCGGATTCCAAAAATACCCACATTGAGGGGTATTTAACAGAATTTACAAGTTTTTATCCAACCGGAAGCCGCCATATTGAATTTCAAAGAGGCGTCAGACATCTATTTCCGGTACAACACGTCATCAAAATTCCAAAAATACCAATATTGTGCGTAATTTTACAGTATTTCCCAGTTTTTCTCTTACCGGAAGCCGCCATATTGAATTTCAGAGAGACGTCAGACACGGTTTTTCGGTCCCCACACGTCACCCCGACTCCAAAAATACTAATATTGTGGGTAATTTGGCAGTATTTCCCAGTTTTTCTCTAGCCGGAGCCGCCATATTGAATTCAAAATGGTGTCATACATCTATTTCCTGTCCCTACACGTCACCTTACCCATATTGAGGGGTATTTGACAGAATTGTCAAGTTTTTCTCCAACCGGAAGCCACCATCTTAAATTTCAAATTGACCTCAGACATCAATTTTCGGTTCCTACACGCCATGCCGACTCCAAAAATACCAGTTATGTGGGGTATTTAGCAGAATTTCCAAATTTTTCTCCAACCGGAAGCCGCCATATTGAATTTCAAAATGGCCTCAGACATGGGTTTCCGATTCCTACACGTCACTCCTATTCCAAAAATACCCATATTGAGGAAGCCGAAGAAACAAAAAAAAATTGATTGAAACAAATTTAGAAATAATAGGGTTAATTACCCCATTTCCAGCCTATTAAGCACAACCTGCACTTAGTATTTCATAATCTAGCGCAGCTTAGTACCAAACTGAATGTTATTATTACTGATGGCTTCCAAATTTATTTACCTTTCCATACGTACCATAAGATTTGATAAAGAAAAACCAATCGTTGAGATATTGTCAACAGTCTAACACTGCTTCTTGACACCAAACTCGGCCTACGGATTCTAAACTCGGCCTAACGCATTGAAACGCCATTGAAACGCAAATGAATTCACTTCGGCCTATCGGATGAAGATAAAAATTGATGCGGTCGGAGCACTTCTTTTGTTTTTGGGAATAATGGGCGCCAACCTTCATATCACGCGTTTTCATTGACTTCGTTCGTTAGTTTATTAACTAAAGTATCGTACCAAACGCATAATTGACTTGTTAACTCTGAAATCATGGATTTATTTGAAGTTTTCTGCTCCATAGGCCCAAAATGGGCGATTAGGCCGAAGTAGTTCTCTACCCTACATTACCGAAAACCGCAACCATCGCTTATAGAACTCTACACTGAGGTAAATCGACTTAAGAATTTAATAAGACTCGACTTATGAACGACAAATATGAATTTCATAAGCGCGACTTATGAAAGGTTTTCGTCTAACATAACGTAGCTTTTATAAGCCTTTAGCCATTCAATTTTCCTAAGCGTTGAAAGACGAGTGGTCAGCACATGAGCTCCGTAATCTCAACGTCCATGGTCCGGTTCCAGTCTGCTCCGTTGGATTATTTTTTTGTCGACATTATTTTTCATAAGGCAAATCCATGAAATTCATATCGATTTCATGTGGCTAAAATTCTTAGGTGGTTCTTATGGAATTCTTACGTTATTTTGCCTCGGTGTAAGGTTTTCCATCCAGTCGACTGTTGTCACTTAAAATCGTCACTTCAGTACGACTTTTGTCACCGAAATACGACTGTGAGAATAAGGTGAGAGTTCACCGGGTTCATCCCAAGTGACTTTTCTCACCTCACTCGCCAGCTGGAATCGGGTGACACGAGTGACTCGAGTCACCTCACCTCATTCGCCACGCAGAATAACCCTGAATGTTACCATGCTGCTGCGTGAATTTTCCTTCAGATGTCACTGCTGTTCTTAATGGTGAAATCTACCGGAAATTACACTTAAACTTAGTTCAGTTAATTGTTGACAGAGGGCAGTGCGGTCGAAACATGTATGGTACCTCTATATATGCAGTTAGATTGACAAAGCAGGGACTCCTCCTTTTTTTACATATTCTACGGCAAAAATACTTGCCAAGCTCCGCCCCTGAATGGGAAATTTAATTGCATAAATAAAGGATCCAATTTTTTTTTTTTTTTCAGGGCAATGTACTATATTTTGTAGTCTGTGAAAGGGAAAACAAATATTGTGTCGCATCAATATACATGGCATGTTGAGAGATTGAGCTCGTGAGTGAAAATGTTACTCTTGATTTTTTTTTGGCTCTCTTAGGATTGATAGTAAAGGGGGTAAACATGTATGGAAAAAATATTTTTTTTATTTAATTATAAGCTTGTGTAACAATGATATCCGGGAAAAAATAAACGACAAAGTCCCTAACTGATTATTTATTTAGGTTGTCGTTCACTTTTTTTGACCTGAATATGCATAGAAAGCGAATTATTCCCACTTCTTTCAATTTATATAAGAGGATTTTCATAAATTCCTACCAGCGGAACAGCGCCATCTCTGTAGAAAATGGTCTGATATGATGCATTACTTTTATTTATATTAAATCACATATGAATTGCATTGGAATACTCCATGGAATTCCTACCAGGCTCTCATAAGAATTCCTTTTGAAATCTCCTCAGCATTTCTTTGGAATACACCTTAGAGTTATTGAGGAATTATTAGCAGAACTTCCTTTGAATTCTCCTCATAATTTCCCTGAAATTGTATGCAAAACTCCCCTGGAATTCTCTTCCGAATCCTTTAAAAGTTCTCCTTAAAACTCACCGGGAATCAGAAAGTCTTCAGAGTTACCTTGGAAGCATTCCATAGATTTCGCTTGAAGTTCTAAGTACTCAAAACTAAAACGGAATTCCAGTCTGAATTTCTTTGGAATTCCCTTTATGTTTGCTTCAAAATTCTTCAGAAACTCGAGGTTATGCCATGAAATGCCAGAATCATTCATATTTACTTCAAGCCCTAGAGCCTGATAGTTTTTCAAGATCCACTGTTTAAATATTTGCTTTCAAATCTGGGATCTTGGAAAAGTTTCAAGATCCGACATCGGAATCTTCGTTCCAGATTCTGGAAAAAAGTTCAATCTTGGATTATTATTTTTTTAAGGTTTATGATTTTGAATATTTTCTTAAGCCCTATAACAATTTCGTGTTTCAGAATCTGATAAATTTGACGCATGATTTTAAATTAATATCACAGTCTTGAAGATTCTTCTTATTCCGGAATCTATACAGTTTTAGAAGTGTAGTGTCTTCTGTTAATTTTTTTTTGGTTATTGAGCTGGAGCTGCGTGACAGCTTAGTTTTCAAGACTTGACCCATTTAAGCTTAAAAAGCTCCTACTTTTGGCCATTTTTAAAATAAGGGTGGTCCTCAAATTATTGTTGTTAAAAAATTAACTTTTTTTATTTTAGAAAATAAAAACGCGTGTTCTTAAAAAAGTTATAGCTGAGATGATTTCAAGCTAGTTTGCTGAAGAAACATTTTTTCTATCTCTTACCGTTCTTATTTTGGAGCAATTTTTCTGGATTTACTTTAAATGTTTTCAAATTTTAGAACAATAAATGATAACGTTAAGAGATAGAAAAAATGTTTCATCAGCAAAGTTGCTTGAAATCATCTCAGCTACAACTTTCCTGAATAACATGCGTTCTGCACTTTAAAAAATAAAAAAAAGTTTGTTTATCAATATCAATAATTTGAGAAGCACCCTAATATTTAAAAAAAACGGCCAAAAGAAGGAGCTTTTAAAGTAGAAAAAGTTCCGAGAGTAGGCTTCAGAAACCAGTTTCCTACCTAGCTCCTTCCAATCGAAATTGTTACCGACTACCCATCACCTTGAACTACTGCTGTTTAAAATGTAAATTCAAACATTACTGATTTTTGGCTCCGCAAAGTGTTACACACGGCTGAGCCTAGTAAATAAACGAACTAGTTCAAAAAAGCAGAAAATTCCAAAGAAGACACTAAACCTCTATCCCGTAGAAGTTCCTTGGATTTCTGATTTTCTGACAATTCGTCAAACTCAGCCTAGCAACACTGAATCTTTCACATTCGGTTTTAAGCGAGCCTTCTTCACCGAAAGAAAAACCAATCAAAATCATTGTTGGTACATCAGCCTCCACCGCATTTGGCCCATTGGTAGTCATGCGAACCTAACCCTTTTCGCAGGTCGCCGAGTGCGTCAACATCATGAACAACATGCTGGAGTTGCTCTTCCACAGCGAAGAGGACATCGGCCCAACGGAGAACGACATCCGCGAGATCATGCAGATCCTGCTGCGCACCGTAATCCAGAGTTCGATTGCCATGGATCGCGACAACCCTCTGGTTGGCAATCTGGTCGCGATCATGTTGGGCATCTTCCGCACCATGAAGGCCGTCCACTATCAGGCGTACGTGCACCATTTCCTCACCAGTTTCGATTTGCTGGATTTTCTCATGGAGATCCTGCTGGTGTTCAAGGAGCTGGTTTCGAAGCCGGTCTTTCCGCCGGATTGGCTGGACATGATCATGCACCAGAATACGGTAATTCTGGAGAGCCTGCGGCACTTTTCCGGGATCATCATGGAGTGCTTCTTGTCACAGTTCGAGAAACAGGTCTGGTCGAACTACTTCCAGTGTTCGATCACGTTCCTGACCCAACCGTCGCTTCAGTTGAACATGTTCAGCAAGACGAAGCAATCGATGATCCTCAGTAGCTACCGGGATATCCGGAGGGAGACGGCCTTCGAGATTCGGAAGATGTGGTTCAACCTGGGAGAACATAAGATCATGTTCGTTCCGCAGTTGGTCGGTCCCATCCTGGAGATGAGTATGATCCCGGAGGTAGAACTACGGAAAGCGACCATCCCGATCTTCTTCGACATGATGCAGTGTGAGTATTATAGCTCGAAGTATGTGATGGAGAGCTACGGGGATACGAAGAGGAATACCAGTCACATCAAGGGGAATTTCAACGATTTCGAGAAGGAAATTATCGAAAAACTAGACCATTACATCGAAGGCGGCTACGGGGATGAAGAGTACATGGAGCTGTTCTACGAGATCATGTACGAGTCGTGCAGTAATCACAACACGCTGAAGGCCTACGGAATTCAGTGCGTGAACGTGTTGACCAGGTTGATGGAGAAGCTGCTCGAGTATCGATGCTTGATCCACGATGAAAGCAAGGAGAACCGGATGGCCTGTACGGTAAGTCTGTTGCAGTTCTACGCTGAAGTCAATCGAAAGGAGATGTACATTCGGTACGTGAATAAGCTGTGCGATCTACACATGGAGTTCGATAACTTTACGGAAGCTGCGTACACGCTGAAGCTGCACAGTAACGAACTGTACTGGGACGATACTCCGCTGTCTCCACTGTTGAAGTCGAGTCGTCACTTGTCCTGTAGCACCCATTGGGCTCTGAAGGAGAAGCTTTACCGGGACATTATAGACCTGTTTGACCGGGGTAAGATGTGGGAATCAGCGATCGATATGTGCAAAGAGCTGTCGCAACAGTATGAGAACGAAATCTACGACTATCTGAGCTTGGCTGAACTGTACAAGAAGATGTCCCAGTTCTACGAGAAGATTCTCCGGGAGAAGCGCTTTGAGTCCAACTACTATCGGGTGGCATTCTACGGGTATGGGTTTCCACAGTTCCTTCGCAATCAGGAGTTTGTCTACCGGGGGAACGAGTACGAAGACTCCGGTTCGTTCAACACCCGTATCCTTAGTCAACATCCTCGGGCGGAGTTGGTTCCAACGCTGAATCCAGGCCCGGAGATTCGTCAAAGCGAAGGCCAGTTCATACAGATTGTGAAAGTGGATCCCGTCAGCCGAGATATCCGGATTGGGAAGGACAGGAAGAACATTGCGTGCAATATCCTGAAGTTCCACCAAACGAACAACGTGAGTGAGTTTCAGTTTTCGCGGCCGATACGGGACTCGAGTGGCAGTGGGGATGACATTGCGGGCACTTCGTACGAGCGAACGATTCTGAGGACGACGGATGCCCTGCCGAGTATTCTCCGGTGGTTCCCGGTGAAGTCATGCGAGACTGTGATGGTGAGTAGTGGATGATGGGGGGCATTCAACATATTCTAATTTTACCAAAATTCTAGATCTCCCCGATCGAGATGGCGATCGAAACGGTGGAAGCGAAGAACCGTGGTATCCGCGAGCTAGTTCTTGAACACCAGGCCGATCCGACCATTCCGATCCACTCGCTGAGTGCGACCATCAACGGCGTGGTGGACGCCGCCGTTAACGGGGGCATTCCCATCTACGAGGAAGCCTTCCTGACGCCGGAATATCTGATCAAATACCCGGAGGACGACCATCTGGTAGCGCGGTTGAAGGACTTGATCGCTTCGCAGATGCCTCTGCTGGAGGTCGCCATTCTGGTGCACAAGATGAAGGCTCCAGCAAATTTGATGCCCTTCCACGAACGGCTGGAGTCGTGCTTTGCCGGCATTCAACCGACGATCGAAGAAAAGTACGGAAAACGGACGACCGACATCAAGATCGATCGGGAAAGCGAAGTGACGCTGAGACGACAGATATCGGCATTGCCGCAGGTCAGCATCGATTCGAGTCGACTGTCGGAAACCAGTATCGGTTCCTCGGAGTAAGTGTTTTCGAACTTTAATGCAAAGGAAGATTGGATTTATCATTTGTGTTTTCTGTTTAAAATTTGCAGTAGCGGAATCTCGAAGAGTCAAAACAGTCGCCCAACGACGACCAGCTCCGGTGGGTTCAAATCGACCTTCACCAATTTTGCAACGAATTTCAACAATACAAGGTGAGTTGTTTTTTATGGTTAAGGCCATCAAAACTGTACAAAAGTGGTGAAATTTTCGCGTGTGCTCTCATGCATAGGATTTCCTCATATTAACTGATATCCCCATGTAGTTAAATTGAGAGCATTTCACGCAGCCATTAATCGGATCAGACAAGTTTTTTTTCGTTTTGAACAAAATTATATTCCCACCTTTTTTTATTTATCTTCCCATCTGACATAACCTCAACCGTTTCCCCTATCCGTGGTCACCATGTGTTGTCATCCGTGTAGTGACTTTTTCGAGTTCGATCGCCTAAGCCTGTCCAGCGTCAAGCTCGGGACCCAATCCGGCAAGCTGATCTCCACCATTTCGACCAAGATTGGCAGCAAAATTCGACAGTGTGTATCTTCTTTCGCTTACGTCACGGTTTTCCATATATTTATAGCTAGTCTTAGTATCCAGAGAAAAATCTCATGAATTGTTTTCTTTTTTTTCGCTTTTTGCTTTTTCTTTCGTTTTTTATTCACCGTGTACGTTTGATAAACAAAATAAAACTCATGGCCCACTAGATCGCTGCAAGTTTTGTAGATGCAAGCTGTCAAAATCAACAAAAAAAAAAAAAGATCCGTTCCTAGATAAGGGGTGTGCGCTTTCTCTCGAAATTTGGATCATTGAATCAGGCTAAGCAAAGTGAAACTTATGTAACTCGTTTTTGGTTAAACATGTTTTGTTGTGTGATGCCGGATATTTCAACGCAATGAAAACTGGCCGCATTTGTTCTAATCGAAACAGTAACAAGATAATAATCACTTACCGAATATCAATCAAGCCAGTTGGTTTGAATTGTTCAATTGCTCACACTTTTTGTTTTTGTTTTTGTCGAGAACTTGATAACGAGACATCAAGACAGTTGTTCCCTAATTTCGCAACACAATTACACTCTGAAGTAAAAAAATACCGTTTTCTCTTCTTTTCCATTCTCTCTTTCGCTACAAATCGCCACTTGCATACACACTACCTACCGCCCGGAGCGCAGACTCGATCTTTCGTCTCATTCGTTTCTCAATTCGAATGGGAAAGTCATGTCTCAGCATATTTTCTCCTTTCTCCAACATTAAGAAACTCATATTTTTTTTTCGTTCTATGCGTGTGTCTCTGTTGGTTGAGTTCTTCGTTTGTTTTTTTTTTGGTTTCGTTACTGTTTGTTTCTGTTTCTTCTGTTTCAACTATCTTTTTTTTCGTTTGTTTACTTTTCCCCAATCACCGCATTTCGTTTAGAACATCCCTCGGTAGTTCCCCCGGTTCCAAAGGCAAAAAAGACAAATACGGCACAAAGCGAAGATCGAGTCGTAAGGTGAGTAGTTCCCGTGCTGGCCGCTAGGAGCGCAGCGTATTAATTTCTTTGTTTCCACTCTTGGTACAGAGCGATCGAGACTCGTTGAATCTGCAAGTCTCAAACAGCCAGTTCTACACGTCACCCATAACGGTGGCAAGCGAAGTACTGGGTATAGGAACTTGCGGCGGTGGTAATAGCAGCTGTAGCGATCGGGACAGTGCCATACTGCTGAGTGGACCCTCGAGTGTCGGTTCTCCGACCTGCTCGACGCCAACCGGCTGCAGTACACCGAAAGTAGAGCTAACCGAAGAGGTGAGTACAACAACTAGCTTTATTTAAAACCGTTGGTTAAAACATGCCGGCACCTATGCCGTATTCTCGTAGAGGCCAATTTTGTAGAATCCAGTTTTCTGGCGTCTGGCCGTTCTTTTACCGCCTGTGGGCACACCCAATCGGGAGTAGATCATCTGTGGCGCGGGGATCTTCGGTTCGTTGATCCGGAAACACTTCCACAATCCATAGCGTAGTTCCAGGGAGTCGAACAATAGCGTACCCTCGTTCCATGTGATGTGATGCTGAGCGTATTCATAGATTTCCTTCAACGGGGGATTCAGATGCGGAGCGTGGTCGAATCGTCGATTGAGAATCGTATTTATGTAGGCCGTGAGCGAAGGACCCCGATGGATCCAATTGATCAAGGTCATGATGCTGATGATGGTCGCGTGGATGCGGTTGATTTGCTGTTGACTGTAGCGATCGCCACCGTTCGGAGACTCCAGTAGACGTCGTTGAACTCCCAGTAGCAGACAGACTACAGCGCACGCGGTGTATCCGCAAGGGATCTCCACCAGGACCATGCAGAGGATGTTGTAGAACACTTCCAGGTTGGTTCGGTGCTTGCTGTGGTACTCGATGGCAGTTGTCAGGGCGTCTTCGAACTCCCTCCTGTGCGTTTCAAACAACTGCCGCCGAACTGGATTGTACTTGTTGATGTCTATGTCATAGTAGGTTCCTTCATGGAAAATTTGAGGAGTACTGAACTCAAGAAAGTTTCGCCCACGATCCAGCATTTTAGCAAAGATTCGACTGGCTTGGATGCTTTTGGATGGCGTTTCCGAGCGAATGTAGGACAGTAGGTACTGTTGAATGAGGATCTCTTCCTGGGAAGGCGTCTCGTCAAGAGCTAGACTTGAAGCAGCGAACTCCACCGTGGTGCCAAATTCAAGCATGGCTTCGTCGGAAAGTGTCGTATCGAATGTCAGTGGTAACATGGTGGCTAGCAAATTGATCAGCTGATCGGTTCGCATGACCTTGATCAGATTCCGTAGGCATATCTCGAACCCTCTTCGTAGCTCGTAGATTTGGTTCTTCGATTCTCCGATAACTGCACTGCTGTGATAGAAGCGAAGTAGCTTAGACACGTCGGAGTACTTGATTTCGTCCCAGTACTGAGGTTGAATGATGTTCTGCAGAACGATCACTGTGTGACGGGCTTGCATGACGTCGTTCTTTGTCAGTAGACTTTCAACGTAGTTGACAATCTTGCAGAGTAGCAGCGAGGCCGGGCTTTTGCACTGCAGGACCATGGTTAAAATTTCGACGCAGATGAATTCCACCTTCCATAGGTTTTCGCGTTGCAGGAAGTTGAGGATGGTATCGATCACCATGTCCTGCAATTCCGGAATCAACAGGTAGATGAGGGATTGGAAGCATTTCTTTGCGCTGGCGAACGGTTGCTTGCGAAATCGATCGAGGAAACTACGTTGAAGCTTCAAATGGGCTACGTACGTCTGGACCAGTACTAGGGAGCACTCCAAAATCATTTGCTTTTCCGGGATGTATTGCAAGGTCTGCCGGTCCGTGTGTTTGACAATGTGATGCAGGATCTGATGGTGAGATTTAAAGTTTTAATAAGCAAATTTAGTTCAGTCGTATGGAAGACTAACCTTCAACGATCGTTTTCCTTGGATGTTGGTCGAGCGGATGGTTGCATCCATGAAGATCGCCGTACTCTGCTTCAACTGTTGTGCCTTGTATCGTGCCTTGGAATCCGAATGCTTCTTGTGCGATTGGGTCATGAGTCGTAGAACCGAGGTTACCGTCGCCACTTTAGCGGACGCCATTTTGAAACATGTCACAATCTGATTTCAAGGCCTACCCTTTTTTCATCTTTTCCCAGCTCCATCCAAAGCGCCCACTCCGTTCGGAAGTGGAGAAGGAAAAACGTAATTCTCGACCACCGAGCGTGGTGACGCCCACGCTGAGCATCAAGACGCTAACCAGTGGTGGGGACACCAATTCCATTGGTTCCGCGGAGAGCAGCAGCAATCGCAATTCCATCATAACGAACGATTCTACTACCTCGGAAGAAGATCTAGTCCCACCACCGCTGCCGATGAAGACCCGTGATAGCGACTACAGTAACTTGCCGCTGAACGACAGTGCCCTGCACCGACGGTTAACGGTCGCCAGTCACTACGTCAGCTGTAAACCGTTGCCGCCGATTCCGACCACCGTCGCCATCAACTCGTCATACGATGTGGTCGAGATGAGAAACAATAGCGTGATTATGATCGGCAGTCCAATATACGATGAGCGGAAGCGACCACCGACGCCACCGCCGAAGCCGGCACGGAACTCCAAGGTATGATTTTAATTTCCGGAAACTGAGAATCAAAATTAGTCAGTACAAACCGTACCCCTCGTTCGCGATTACACGGGGTGAGTACAAGCGGTGGGAATTGATTCGCACAGGATTTGTATAGATAGATGGGAACGCAAATTAGATAGCCGAAGGGCGGGGAGGGTAGGTAGCGAGAAAAGACGAATTTTACACACCGAATTTGATTCCGTTTCGAGTCGAAGAAGCATCGCAACAAGAAGCCATTCTATTTTTTACGTTCTCGACGTAGTATTTTTTTTTATTTAGGTAAGCGGCAAAGCCGGCTATTTTCGTTGTTTAGTTTTACTCAAAGACGTAGATTCGTGTCCTCACGTTTTGTTACACTGTGTATAGATCGGGTAACCTTTCAAGTTTTGACAACTTACCAAAGACGACATAGTAGGCGCATTAATCCTACTTTCCAACGTATGTATTTAGAGCACATTAGGTTAGACTAAGGCGGTAGATTAGGACAATGTTGATGTGAACAAAAAATGACGAACAAAGCCGAGAGAAAGAGAAAGGAAGCGAGCTTGTGTCAAATAAAGATGAATTGAAGGGATAGCTAATCGAGAAATGTAGGTCCAGAGAAAGTTTATGGAGCATTATTTATAGATCAATTCTAACGATTTACCGTATGCTGCTTAGGTTAGGATCATTTGGTTGCGAGACCAAAGTAAGTTTACACGTATAGTTCACTATATCTTTATTCGGATACATATAATTTAACTGCAACTGCAATTTCCTACGAAGAACGATCGATGGCAATCGTGTGGGGGGAGTCTTCACCATTCACGCAATATTATTTTCTATTCTTTAGAAGGTAAGCCAGTCTCGGTAAGGATCAGTATGATAATAAACCAACATGACGCAATGGTACGCTGTTGACGTTGTGTGCTGCGTGGCCGGCTTTGGGACGCAGGATTCCAGTTAAGAGTCCAGTGCGTAAGGTTTCGTTATTCTGAAAGAAAGCCCTCAATCAGACCCCCTTCACTCTTTGGAATTTATAGACACAGATAACAGCGCCAAACGGTTTGTGGCGAGACATCGTTGAACTACAGCGTTGGAAGAAAACACGCACACCAACATCTATGCATGGTACGAACCCTCACCACTGAGTGGACAGCACAGCGCTCAAATGTTTCTGTTCCGTACAAAGTGGTAATGACGAGGACGGTGACTCTATCTACAATGCGCGCACGCTGAGTAGATAGAAAGAAGATTGATGACGATTCTGAAGATTTCCTGCAAACATATGATGTGCGAGGCAAGTAGATGCGAGAAATGAAAGATGATTTTTCGAAGATAAATTCGCTAGTGTTAGATTTGTTGAGCATCTAGAATTGAGATTTAGATGTGTGAAAAACGGAGCAATCATAAAAAAGTGGAATCTTGCTATCGCAATATAATGATGATGACATCGAAAATGATATCGTCCACTTCCTTCGGTTGATCATCAACGTCCGCGCTGGCATCTGTCATGCTGACACCTGTCAGTTATTGAGCCGGCGGTGGACTCCCAACAGTTTCAATATAAATATGAACCAACAGGTCTGTGCCATAAAAAGGGAAACAGTTTCAATGTACACTCACCAGATGTCACTGCGATCACTATCTAGCTGGATGGATTGCCTGTATTCAATCGACGAATCCCAATCGTCCAGTGACTTGTGGAATCGTGTCAACGGTCTTAGCGGCAAGCGGCGATCTACTCCTCTTACTATCCAAGCTCATGGCTGGATGGATTGCCTGGATTCAATTGACGAATCCCAATCGTCCAGCGAATTGTGGAATCGTGTCAATGCTCTTAGCGGCAAGCGGCGGTCCACTACTCTTACTATCCAAGCTCATGGCACCATGATCTCAGAACCGAAGGACATCGCCGACGAATTAGGGAACTATTTCGCCTGCTTGTCTGCTATTAGCGCTGGCTCCGACAGCGAATTTGTCCAGCGCGTCAAACCCTCCACTTGAGAAATTCCACCCGATATTTCTTTCCTCCAGATCAACAAAGTTTTTACCTTCCGGGAACTTTGCTGTGGTAAATCTGCCGAGCAGGTCGAGATTGGATACCCGTTGTTAAAGAACCTCTCTCTCCAAGACAAAACGAGGCTACTTGCCCTCTTCAACGATCTATGGCTCACCGAATTGTACCCGAACTTCTGGAATCTAAGCTTCGTAGTGCTCATTCCGAAAAATAAAGCGGAGAGTGGGGAAGCCTCCTTCTTTAGGCCGATTGCTGCGGTGTGTGATAGAGATAGTGATAGAGAGAATGCAAGCATAACTTTTTGTAATAGGCCTTGCCTGACTGTCATAAGTTAGAGATTGATTCTTTATCCGACCACCAACCAATATAGACGTAATAAATAGTAGCTCTTAACAACAGCTTGTTTTACTTGTTGGCCTTGGTTACGGATATAAAAGAATCTGCAGTTATAGCTTCTGGTGGCAATGTCAACCTTCTCGCTGAGTTCCAGACCGAGATCACCATCAAGAATGTTACCAAGACTGGTCGCATTTTCATCTCAAGCAACGCTGAACTCAACGTTCTAGGAATCGAGACTATGGATCTGTTCGATTTGTGGTCTGTGCCGATAAGCAGCTTGGTCAACGTCGTACACCAACGTTCTGATCAGTTCACCAATCAACTCAAGCAACAGTTTCCGGAAGTTTTTCGAAGCACGCTGGGTAGATGCACAAAAGCGCAAGTGAAGTTGTACCTCAAGCCTGACGCACGTCCTGCATATTGCCCGAAACGACCAGTAGTGTACGCTGCACTCGCCAAGGTGGACGCAGAACTTGAGAGGCTCCAGCAAAACGGTATAATTTCTCCGGTTCAATTCTCGGACTGGGCAGCACCAATAGTCGTCGTACGCAAGTCGGACAATGCATCAGTCCGTGTATGTGGCGATTATTCGACGGGGCTGTACAACGCGCTAGAATGTGACCATCATCCACTGCCTCATCCTGACGACCTCTTTGCGGAACTAGCTGGAGCACGTTACTTCACTCATCTCGATTTGTCTGACGCTTACCTACAGGTCGAGGTCGAGGAGGAATCGCGAAAGCTACTCACGGTCAACACGCATCGTGGACTGTTCCAGTATAACCGACAACCCCCCGGAGTCAAGTCGGCACCCGGCGCTTTCTAGCGCATCATCGTCAGCATGGTGGCCGGCATCCCTGGAGTCAAGCCGTATTTGGACGACATCCTCATCGCTGGTCGCACCAAGCAGGAAACTGACGATGAGGACGATCAAGACGACGACGAATCCGATGATTCAAGCCTATCCGAAGCATCTCTGGAAGAGGAAATTGTGAAGCCGAAAAAGGTTAATAGGATCGGACCGACAAAAGCCCAGCTAGCCGCGAGAAAAGGATTGACGTACACACTTTTCAAATTCTCGGGCAATCCAGCGCAATGGCCATTGTTTTACGCGGCCTACAAAGCGTCCAACGATGCATGTGGTTAGATGAACCACGAGAACCTGATGCGATTGCAGGAAGCCCTTGATGGTGACGCCCTCGAGCTGGTATCTGGTCAGCTGCTTCTTCCGAAGGTCATCGAGAAACTTCGCAGACATTACTGCTTCAAAGTCTTCTAGACAAAGTTAATGTTGGCGTAGTAGGCAATCAGCCGTCGCTTTCCCCTGTTACGTTGTTGGGAAGCCCTCCCTGGCAACGACCCGTTACCTGTTTGTGAAAATTAATAACTGTTCATTCCACAATCGCACTTCGTCTAGTACAGACGCTTAAAAAAACTGTCTCCGTTTTTTCTTGTTAAATCATATACTTCGTTTGGAGTCTCCCGTTTGTCCCTTCAAAAGGTTATGGGCACCACCGCGAAGGACGTTTCGTGCAACATCCCGTTGCTGTGTGGAAGCGGAGCTGACTTCCAAAACTGGAGTTATCGAGTGCGCCTGTTCCTGGAAGCCAAAGGCGTCGCGGATGTGCTGACTGAGGTGGCTCCAACGGAACAAGCTGCAAAGAAGAAGTTTGAAGAAACGGACCGGATCTCGAAGGCGTTGCTGGTGGGTTGCCTGTCGGACGAATGCCTCGAGATCGTTCGAGAGAAGGCGACCACGAAGGAGAAGTGGGTCAGTCTGGAGGCGGCTTATGCGAAGAAGTCTGTCGCGAGCCAAACGTTAGTACGGAAGCAGTTGGCTTGTTAAATAAGGAAGGGGACATGCGGACGCATCTACTTGAATTCGACGGGCTCGTGAGAAAATTGAAGACGGCCGGAGAAACTCTGGCGGAAAGTGATCTGGTGTCGCAGCTTTTCTTGACGCTTCCAGACTCTTTCGATCCCCTAGTCACGGCCCTGGAGAACGTCGCGGAAGAAGATTTGAATTTGGACCTCGTCAAGCAGCGTCTATTGGCTGAAGAAAGGAAGCGATCCGACCGGCAGGGCGATTCAGTTGAAGACAAGTTGGCAGCGTTCTCGGGTGACTCAAGATCCCAAAAGAAGTCCCAGAAATTCCTCGGTAAGTGCCACAAATGCGGGCGTCGCGGCCACATGAAAAAGGATTGTCGCCAGCGTGAAGCCAATTCAGCGAAGAAGGATGCCATCAGTTTCATGGCCGATGCAAACATTGCGGAAAAGCGGCCTGGACGAATCCTTTTCAAGCTTGATTCCGGGTGCAGTGACCACCTGGTTGGCGACAAGTTCGTTTTTGCTGCCCTGAAGAAGATGACCTGTTGTGTGGAGATCAAGGTCGCCAAGGAAGGAGAAGCTATGCTTGCTGAACAGATTGGCAATATCAACGTGACCAGCAACAAAGGTGTACATTTCAGTCTAAAGAATGTGCTCTACGTTCCAGAACTACGTGAAAACCTGATATCCGTCAGGAAGATGGCCAATGCTGGGATCGATGTCTTGTTCTCTGGAAACGTAGCAGTTCTGAAGAAAAGTGGTAAGTTACTGGCCACTGGACACCTTCGAGGCAGGCTGTACGAGCTTGAGCTATCGTTGGAGGAAGTTGAAGCGAACCATTGTGAAGTATCGATTGGAAACCTGTGGCATCGTCGACTGGGGCATATCGGCCAACGCGGATTGAAGACCATGACCCAGAAAGGAATGCTAAAAGGTATGAATGAAAAAACAACCAAAATTGATTTCTGCGACGCCTGCGTGCAAGCCAAGCAATGCCGAGAACCGTTCAACAAAACGCGAGCTAGGGCCAGCCGGCCGCTGGAGCGGATTCATTCTGATGTTTGCGGACCGATCGATCCGCCGGCATGGGATGGTTCTCGTTGCATAGTCAGTTTCATCGATGACCATAATCATTTCTCGATGATATATTTGCTGAAGCGCAAGTCAGAGGTATTCGAGAAATTTCAGGAATTCGAAGCAAAGGTCACAGCTATGCTGGGAAAGTCCATTTCAAGAATAACGGTGGACCAGGGACGAGAGTACTGTTCCACAAATCAGATGCAGTTCTACAAGAGAAAAGGGATACAGCTAGAGACAACGGTTGCGTACACGCCCCAGCAGAATAGTGTAGCGGAGAGGTTCAACCGAACCTTGGTTGAAAAAGTCCGTTCCGTGCTCATCCAATCCAATGTGCCGAAGCAGCTGTGGTCCGAAGCAGCCCTCGCCTGCGTTTACTTGATGAACCGAAGCCCAACAAGTGCGTTGCCCTCTGGTGTTACTCCGCCTGAGATGTGGTTCGGTATTACACCGGATCTGGACAAACTTCGTGTGTTTGGCTGCAAGAGTTTCGTGTGGATTCCAAAGCAGCAAAGGCGTAAGTTGGATGCGACGAGCAAGGAGATGGTCATAGTTGGGTACGCTCCGAACGGCTATCGCGTGTGGGACCCGGTGGCTCGAAAGCTTACGATTGCTCGAGACGTCAAGTTTGATGAGTCGTCCTTCCCGTACGCTATGATGCAGCAAGAAGACGATGTCCCATTGACCATCCACTTCCCGTTCGAGCAAGACGGGGAACGTTGCCAGCACAGATGAAATTCGTGAAACCAATAATGTACCTAAAATCAATCGAATTGAAGCAGAACCCGACGATGATCTTGAAGAACCGGTTGAAGAACCAGAAAATGCGCTCCCTTCGCCCACAGAAAGACGCGAAATTCCTAGTGAATTGTCGTCGAGGCATAGCGAACGGGAGCGCAGGCTCCCCGGTATTTATTTGATTACTTTATCGGTTATAGAGCTATTTCTGGCGAATTGATTTCCGCAGATATACCAGAATCGTTTGATGAACTGCCCCCCCGAGCCATGTGGATGGCTGCGGTACGAGATGAGTTACGTTCCATGGAGGACAACAAGGTCTGGCGTCTTACGAGCTGTCCGAAGGGAGTGAAGCCTCTGAAATCGAAATGGGTGTTTGGGCTGAAGGACGATTCGGCCGGCAATGCGGTCAAACATAAGGCGAGACTGGTGGTGAAAGGATTCCTGCAGAAGGCTGGAGTCGATTACGAGGAGACATTCGCTCCTGTTGCAAAACTGGCCACCATCAGGACGGTCCTCGCGGTCGGAGTGCAACAGTGTTTCCACTTCCATCAAATGGACGTCAAGACGGCGTTTTTGCACGGCGACCTGAAAGAGGAATTGTACATGGCGGTTCCCGACGGTGTTGCAGCGTCCCCTAATACAGTGTGCCGCTTACTCAAGTCCCTGTACGGCCTCAAGCAATCTCCAAGGTGCTGGAACGAAAAGTTCAACGATCGGTTACTGAGTTTGGGATTTCGTCGATCGCTGCACGACTACTGCCTCTACGTGCGGGTGGTAGGGTAGAGAACTACTTCGGCCTGATCGCCCATTTTGGGCCTATCGTGCAGAAAACTTCAAATAAATCCATGATTTCAGAGTTAACAAGTCAATTATGCGTTTGGTACGATACTTTAGTTAATAAGCTACCGAACGAAGTCAATGCGGACGCGTGGTATGAAGGTTTGCACCCATTATTCCCAAAAACAAAAGAAGCGCTCCGACCGAAACAATTTTTATCTTCATCCGATAGGCCGAAGTAAATTCAATGACGTTTCAATTGCGTTTCAATGCGTTATGCCGAGTTTAAAATCCGTAGGCCGAATTTGGCGTCAAGAATCAGTGTTGGACTTTTGACAATATCTCAACGATTGGTTTCTCGTTTTCAAATCTTACGGTACGTACGGAAAGGTAAATAAATTTGGAAGCCATCAGTAATAAAAACATTCCGTTTGAAGCTAAACTGAAGTGGATTAAGAAATACTAAGTGCGGGTTATGCTTAATAGGCCGGAAATGGGATAGTTAACCCTACCAGGAGACGAAATTTATATCATTCTGTATGTGGACGATTTGCTCATCGCTGGGAGGAAGATTGAAACGATTGTGAATCTGAAGAAAGCCCTGAGTTCGACATTCAAGATGACGGACTGTGGTGAGATCAGTCTTTTCCTAGGTATGAAACTAGAATACGACCGTGCGACGAATTCCATGAAACTCTCTCAAGAAACGAATATCGAAAAAATATTGATACGCTTTAAGATGACGGATTGTAACCCGACCAAGACGCCTATGGAGAAGAACCTGGTTGTTTCCCGTGATGGTGAGTCGACCCAAGAACCGTACCGTGAGCTGCTGGGCACAATTATGTACGTAATGCTGTGCACCAGGTCTGATTTGTGTTTCCCCGTCGGATTCCTGGGCCGTTACCAACAGAACCCCACAGTTAACCATTGGCAATGCCTCAAGCGTATAGTACGGTATTTGAAAGGGACGAAAACGAAGCACCTGAAGTTTGTACGCGACGAATCAGCGGAAGCGTTGGTAGGATATGTTGACGCCGACTGGGCATCGGATGCGGAAGACAGGAAGTCAGTCAGCGGCTACCTGTTCACGGTATTCGGTAATCCTGTATCGTGGTCGAGCAAAAAGCAGGTTACCGTTGCTACATCCTCGAGTGAAGCGGAATATGTGTCGCTGAGTTCTGCTGTTTCGGAAGCGATCTGGTTGTCCGGAGTGATGGAAGATCTTCAATTGAAGCGGCCTGCGGATCCGGTCGTAATATTTGAGGACAATCAAGGAGCAATAGGTATGGCGAAGAATTGTGAAAGCAAGAGAAGCAAGCATATAGATATCAAGCACCACTTCATCCGGGACCACATTGCGAATGGACGTGTAGCGGTGAAGTATATCAGTACCGAAAAGCAACTGGCGGATTTGTTCACCAAACCGGTGGACGCGGTGCGCATGGAGAAGCTGTGCCAAGGCTTTGGAATGGCCGATTGAGAGGGGGTGTTGGCGTAGTAGGCAATCAGCCGTCGCTTTCCCCTGTTACGTTGCTGGGAAGCCCTCCCTGGCAACGACCCGTTACCTGTTTGTGAAAATTAATAACTGTTCATTCCACAATCGCACTTCGTCTAGTACAGACGTTTAAATAAACCTTTCTCCGTTTTTTCTTGCTAAACCATATACTTCGTTTGGAGTCTCCCGTTTGTCCCTTCAAGAGTTAACCAGCTGGAAACCTCCATCTGGAGGCCGCGGAACCTCGTCAACCCGCTTCTGATAAAATCTCTGGTTGCCAAACTGCCCGATCGGGAAAAGCGTGAATGGGTTCACGACTGGAGAGGCAAGAAGGAACCAACGCTACGAACGCCACCGGATTTCCTGATAGATATCGTGTCGGACACTTGCGAGGCAAATGTCGATATCGATTTCAAGCCATCATACCAGCCAAAAAGTGGGCCATCATCCTGGAAGAAGACGCCGAAGGTGAAAGGTGCGCTGTACTGCCAACAGGTGGAAACTAACGATTTTAAATTGCCTTACTACTTGACTAGCCTATTGGTCCCAAGCAAATCGATTAACGTACCCCATTCTTGTTGAAATTCTAGTACTACACTATGTTTGTTTTTATTCGCTATGAAAGTTTGACAGATAAAAAGAGGGGTTCGTGGATTTTCCTGTGTTTCGAGGGGTGCATCGATTAGCTTGGGACCGAAGAGAGTACCAGAACTGAGCCAAAAAGTTGAGCACGTTTCTTCGGAACCTTCTGGTCTTAGAGTTACCTCTATTCTAGCACTGTGATCGATTTTCGACATTTGAGCTGTACCGGAACCATACGGAACATGGCCGTGCAGCGCCAGCTGGGAGGCCATCGCCGAAGCGCTGCATAGAATGAGGGTCCCTGACTAACGGTGTAGAATTCTAAGGAGTTACTCCCAGAACCTGGTGTTCATCTACGGGGTAGACATGTTACAGATATCGATTAGGATAACGGTGGGAGTTCCACCAGACTCCATCCTTGGTGCAACGCTCTGGATTGGGATGTACAACGGCGTACTGATGATCAAGGTGCCCAAAGGAGTCGAGATCGTTGGCTTTGCCGTCGACGTCGTCTTAACAGTAACCGGCGAGACGCTGGAAGAAGTGGAAATGTTGGCGATAAATGATCGGCACGATTGGAAACTGGATGCAAGGGACGAAGCTACAGATAGCCCACCACAAAACGGAAGCACTATTGGTCAGTAACTGTAGTAAGAGAGAGAGAGAGACGATTAGCAATGCTGATTACTTACTTATCCTGGTCCGACATCCCTCAGGATTGCACCTGCATCACAATGTGACGCCAAGCCACTCGGTCCGTGGCTGCGTGTCTCCAATTTCTTGACCGTCCCACACTTCCAAGATCCTGCTCCACTTGGTCTAATCACCTTGCTCGGTGTGCTCCTCTTCGTCTTGTACCGGTCGGATTCGAGGCAAACACCATTTTTGCAGGATTGTTGTCCGGCATTCTTAAAACGTGTCCCGCCCATCGTACCCGTCCAGCTTTCGCAACTTTCTGGATACAGGGTTCGCCATAGAGTTTTGCCAGGTCGTGGTTCATCCTTTGTCTCTATATACCGCCAAAGATGGTCCTAAGCAATCGTCGTTCGAAAACACCCAGTGCTTGCAGGTTCTCCTCGAGCATCGTCCACGTCTCGTGCCCGTAGAGAACTACCGGTCTTATCAGCGTCTTGTACATTTAGTACGGTGGTGAAGTTCACCCGACCTCAGGGTCTTGTGGAGTCCGTAGTAAGCACGACTTCCGGCAATTATGCGTCTACGAATTTCTCGGCTGCAGTTGTTATCCGACGTCACCAATGATCCGAGGTACACAAATTCATCCACCACCTCGAACTCGGTTCCTCCAGCTAAAAGATACTTTGTCTTCGACGTATTCACATTTAATCCAACCTTCTCTGCTTCACGTTTCAGCCTGGTGTACTGCTTCGCCACGGCCTGAAACGTTCTTCCGACAATGTCCACATCGTCAGCGAAGCAGATGAACTGGCTGGACTTATTGAAGATCGTGCCCCGGACGTTTCATAACACCTTCTAGCGCAATGTTGAACAGGAGGCAGGAAAGACCATCGCCTTGTCGAAGTCCTTTGCGAGTTTCAAACGAGTCCGATAACGCACCCGATATCTTCACGCAGCACTGTACACCATCCATCGTAGCCCTGATCAGTCTGGTTAGCTTCCCGGGAAAATCGTTCTCGTTCATAATCTTCCATAGCTCTTCACGGTCAATAGTATCATAAGCGGCCTTGAAATCGATAAATAGGTTGTGCGTAGGGACTTGATATTCACGACACTTTTGGAGGATCTGTCGCAACGTAAAGATTTGGTCCGTTGTCGATCGCCCGTCCACAAAACCGGCTTGATAACTTCCCACAAATCTGCTTGCTAGCGGCGATAAACGGCGAAAGATGATCTGGGAAAGCACTTTGTAGGCCGCGTAAAGAATAGTGATCGCTCGATAGTTCTCACATTCTAGTTTGTCGCCTCTTTCCACTCCTCCGGTAGCTGTTCTGTATTCCAGATCCTGACTATCAGTTGGTGCAGACAAGTGGCCTACTTACCCGGGCCCATTTTGATAAGTTCCGCTCCGATTCCATCTTTCCTAGCTGCTTTGTTGTTCTTAAGCTGTCGGATACCATCCTTAACTTCACCTATCGTGGGAGCTGGCATGTCCCCCTCATCCGCTGTATCGACGAAGCCATTCCTCCTGCCGCCTCTACGCCGTTCAGATGTTCATCGTAGTGCTGCTTCCACCTTTCTATCACCTCACGTTCGTCCGTTAAGATACCCCCTTCTTTATCCCGACACATTTGGGCTCGCGGCACAAAGCCGGGATGCATTGAGTTTCTTGTAGAACTTGCGTGTTTCTTGAGAACGATACAGCTGCTCCATTTCTTCGCACTCTTGGACTTTTGCTAGAAGCTATCAAGTGGGATTAAATCGAAGACATATGCCGACAGAGTTCGGATAACGAGGGTTCCATTTCGTCAGCTGCTTGGAACTTTACAGTGCCTTGCTAAATGTTCATGACTAGAAAAAGTTAATTTTCTGACAAACGAAGTGACAGACGGTGCGGCTCGAAAACTTTGGTGACGAACCTGCTTTTGCGATTTTTCAGTGTACCACTTGGCAACACTACTACTGGATTGTACTAAAATATTCACCAAATGTACTAGAATGTTTTGGTTCTATCTCTTCACTCTACTCAAAACTGAAATGCCTAACAAAAATGACAAAATGATACACTCTTTGCACACAAAATCAACTTTGTTCAAATCATAACAAAAATACTAGCCCATCTGGTGGCTGATGGCACAAGCTTCTAAGAAAATTCTATTGCAGCGAACCACATCGTTTTAATTGATTTCTTCGCCAGTTAGTCGTCTGTCACTTCGTTTGTGATTTAAGGCCCAAATTTTGGTATATTTTCCCAATAAAATAGTTATCTTCCTTAACATTTGCCTCATCTCCCCTAAATGGCATTTCGGATACCTTCCAACTAAAATTACTTCGCTGCTCCGTAGTTTGTTGAGTGTGTGTGTTTCAATATTTTGATCTGGTTGAAATATTTGTTTCAATCACTGGCATTATTCACATTTACATACAAATGGTTAGCTTTATAAAAAAAAAATATATAAAAATAACATATATGGTTCAGGTAAGTTTTGTCCAATACTTTTAAACTTAATTCTAAGGATCTTAAAAAAATAAATAATTATAATTTCACAAAACGTACAAACATAAACCTAAGTCGCGACGTCCGGAATGCGCTTCAATCGCTGTCCACGCTGCTTTGGCTGTTGGGCAAACCGAAGGTAGCTAAAAAGATCGAAAAGAAAACTCGTTTAGCTTAATCCGACTCCCACCCGAGGATGCTTTCTCCTGCCTGCTTACATTTAATTCGACGGATGTTATGGATGAACGGCATCAGGTCGTTCCGTTCCGTATCGCTGGAAGACCGCACGACGGCCGTCGAAACAAGCCCGATAGCATTCTCCAGCATGCGTTTGGCCATCCGCCGGTTGGGCACTGTGATCTGTACCGTAACGGGTTCAATTTCGCACCGCCGGCTTCCCGTTTCCTCTTTGATCTGTATGGCACCGGATGACTGAGATTGGTTGTGCATTCCCGAATGGTAACGCATGATCTTTTTGCCACGTTTCATCTCCAAGGGTTGCGCTGCCTTCCGTTTTCGGATGGTTTCCTCCGTGGCTGTTTTCTCTTCGTTTAGCTTGTCTCGTTTAATATTGGTGCAGATCTTGATTTGGAACACCTGTCGGCCGAGAATGCGCCCATTTTGGTCTTCCAATGTGAAAACCAGTGCCGTAGCACGACGGTTAATGTTGCGACAGGAATTCTGACATACGAATTCTAATGTTATGCCACCCTTGGCAGAATGGTCCATGGGAACCAGAATGGCCAGCCGTTCTTCGAAGGTTTTTCCATCCTTGGTGCCTGTGTAGTTGACCTGTTCGTTTTTGCAACGAATCACGTGTGTTTTGATGTGATCGGGTATATCCTGATTATCACTGCAGCGGTGATTGTCGCATCGAGAAACCGGAATGTGACGATCTTCCGGCGAGGAACAGATCACCATCGTTCGAACGGTGGTGGTTCGCTCGGGAGAAGCCAACAGCGATAGATTGAACGTGCAAGTGTTTCCCATTTTAACGAACAGTTTCCGTAGCTTGTCGGAGTACATCCAGCTAGTCTTGTCGCTAGACTCACTTGGCAAACTGACTTGGAAATTGATATCTGGTAGGGTCATAACCTCCACCGATGGGAACTGTTTGAGATGATCCAGAATGGTGGGCGGTGGGTTGTTGTCAATGGCGGCTGCATAAATTTCCAAGTCGATCGCTTCACCTGGAGCTAAATTGCCGAGACTTTTCAGCGAAACGGGCAGCTCGAACTCCTGGGAACCGGTGGCAAAATCTCCACATTTGAGAACCTTACTTGCGTCATCGGCGTACGTTTGACTGTTGAACAGATCGATCGTTTGACTGTCGAAATCTTTGAGCTCGTAACCTGAATGTTGCTGTTGCAGCTGCAGCTGAAAGAAGACAATCCAATTAGAATTGATGACATCGATTCCCATTCGAATTGGAAATCATTGGTGCCACACATATTAGCTGTGTTTAAGGACAAGATTGATATCATGGCTGATTTTGCAAGGCAAATCTGCGATGAAAACGGTTATTTGTGGATTTTATCAATCATGTCCTTAATGAGAGGTCGAAACAGATCGCAAACACCTTGCGATCTGTTTTTTGGTGTTCATCCAACCTACTTCGAGATGCTTGTGCTGGAATGCTATTAAGCTCTAGCAAGTCGAACTCGGTCGAGATTGTGACGCGGATTTCAGAGAAGAACTAGAGCAAACGAATCTACTTCCAATTGGAATGTCTTACAGGTATTCTGCCGCAAAAATAAATAATTTACAAATCGGATCAAACGGGTTGTCATTGAGACAAGCAGGTTGAACCTGGGACGGGACTTGACAATCGAGCTTCTCACTCTTCTTAATGTTTTTGATGAATTTCCTTCGAACATTTGTGCGAGGTGTTTGAAGGAGTTGACCAATGATGCCAGGATTGCCGAATGATTTTTCTTTTTTAATTTTGATTTGATTCATAACAAAAACAACCATAAACAAACTCGCTTAAAACAAGCAGTGCACTAAATTTTTCAACTTTCCTTTTGCAAATGTAAACAATTAACAACGCCTTTGGCGTCTACATTGATTCCGGCATCACTGCCAGTCAGGCTGCTGTGATCCCTCTGTCCTTTTTATTCCACAGCCAAATCGGCCAATCAGCAACTGGCTCGGATTTGACAGAAAATTGGCTTGAAATCGATACCCGATTGTCGATCCATTATATTGATACCAGGGTCGAACAAGCTCGTAGTCGCTCGAGGTAGGTTGGACTGTTTTTTTCGACAAAAAATTCCGAGAAATTCCAAGCAACTTCGTGCTAATGTGAGCGAGCTGCGTCATTGAACAAACCTATGTTCACATCTTCATCTGTACTTTGTGCTCCAAAGTGTTTTCTCATCGGCAAAAGTTAGACATTCTGTGCATATTTTTCCATCATCTGTACCGAAAAGCTGTTCCATTCCTGAGTAATCTGTATATGTGGTATCACTGCCGAAAATGCGTTCCAACTACTTACCGAATTGCCCGTGAGCGGGAACATCTCTTCGTCGCTGGCGACTCTGAGAATGGGAAAAGCCGATTAAATTCACTCAAAGCTCCACCCCTGTCATAACTCACTCAATTTCCCCGTTGTATGCGACCATCAGATCCTGCGAGTCGACCATTTTCACTCCAACTGCTTGAAAAAGTGCGCTTCAATTAACTGCCACCGCCACCGCCGTCGTCGTCGTCTGAAATATTAAAACACAAACAGAGTTAGCTTATCGTTTTTTTTTCTGCGAGTGGTCGTGAGCTTTTGGGATGATGCAACAAACTATTCCGGCGTTGCACGGCTAGTAGCGATATGATGAAGCGAATCAAAACAACGACGCCGTGAGCAACACGTTCGCCGCCATGTTTGTGTGCGTGCGAAAAGAAAAGTGAAGTTACAGGAACTCGCTTGCTGTATTTTTTTTTTTTACCTTCAATCAGATGCCAAACATGTTCGCACAAGATTACTGCAAGGTTCCGAATGTTTTGTTTGGGTGCGTGGAGTTGGATTTTGTCTTAAGGAGGAGGCAGTCGTGAAGCTAATTCACCGGAAACCACTTGTTTTCCAATGAATGTGCCAATATGCCCAATTCAGAGGCATTCTACTCACAACCAATTTTGCAAAAAACATCATTTTCAAAATGCACTTTAAATTTACTTTAAAAGTTGGTAAAATAATGAAAAACGGAGTAAAATTTTCACAATTTGATGAGTCATCGGTGGTGCAGTGGGCAAATAGTGAAATTTTTCGCATAAAATGGCGACTAGCTGAGTTCTGCTTCCGATCTTCGATGCTACCGGTTGATAACGTTTCCAAACGATTCCAGGTTCCCGGGAGTGAAGGAAGTTTACCGGCTCTTCCGATGAAGGTTTTTACTTCCTGCGTAATGAATGCTGTTCCTTGGCTTACCTGTGTCGGGTGGCACTGTGCGTCGGATTTCGCTTTGATACTTTCCACACTTGCACCACTTTTTTCCGATGAGGAGCAATCCTCAAATTGTTTAAACCTGCAATTTTATCTTTTTTCCGGTAAAACTACTTTTGAACACTGGGGAAATTATTGCACAAGACTGCATGTAGACTGACGACGGACGACTGACAGAACAATGAGCAGCTGAGAGCTTTTACTTTTTTTTTCCATTCGCTGGAGCAGGATTGCCAGATTTTCAAAAACGCGCGCCTAAGCTATTGACAGGTGATAGGGCTGTGCTTGCTGTGCGAGGGGTGTTTGTATTTATTGAATGTAACCAAACGACCGATTCAATCTAATCCATTGAAAACATTTCCGGATTGCAAACATTGCTGGAGGGCTGCCGGTCCTCACAAGCTATACACTGGCGCGGTAACCATAACTCGGCGATAGAAGAGTTGCTTCGCAAAACCTGAGCTTCTGACTGAAACAGCGTCTGACTGGTATCCAGGGCTGAATCGAGGGCTGAATAATAAATGCTTATCTCCGGTACCCGAATAAAACATATTATAGAAAAACAATACAATTTATTGTAACAGTACTATTTGGAACATTATGATTACCATAAAAGCTATTGTAATTATAACAATGAAAATATGTTGAAATGTATTGTGTTAAACTTTTGAATGTATGGTAAACGGAGCTTTTACAATGGAATGTCTTCTAAACAATAAGATGAATAGTAAATATATAGTTGTTAGGACTGAACAGGACATCAAAGCTACTTAAGGTTTAATTGTTAATTTACGGTAACAAAACGATAAAATGAATATTGATCATACTCTTATGAATAGTGACTAAATCAAGAGCAAATTTTCATTATGTCGAATGTAACAAAGGTAAACAAAGTCGAGCTATCAGTGTCAATCGATGCTCCTGCTATATACTGTCCGAATATAGGATCACATCCCATTTTTAAATTTATTTACCAGTCGAATTGCTTTTTGACGTAATCACCTTCCGATCAAAATAGTTTTCGATGTTACTTAAGTCACCCGATTTCTATGGAGATGCCGTTTGCCTTAAGTACACGGATAGAAATCTCCTTATACCTTTTCGCAAATTTCTATTGCTGATTATTTATAAAATGTATAAGTCAACTAATAAGCAGACGTCTTGCAAAAAGTTAATGAAGCTCATGTGTCAAATGAAATGTATAAGCGCTCACATATACCTTTTATGCATTCTTGTAGGACCTATGTGGTTTGTCTTATGGAATGTATAAGGCTGATGCTTTGGCAAAAATGTATAAGTGAAACACATGAATAAAATAATTGATTTTCGTTTCGTGTAACAGCACTGAGAAACCCGTGAAAAGTGTACTTTCGTCGTTTCGCTTTCTCATTATTAAAGTGAATAAATCGAACTGTTTGTTGCTAAGATGATTTCGGTGGTCCTAAAATGATGAATGGGCTGCACGTAAGGAGACGTAATTGATAATTCTCCCGAATATCCTGGTAAATACATTTTGACTTAAGTAACAATAGGGGCCACCAAACGACGTATAATAACTTTTGACTCAAAAACCAGTATTTCTTAGCATGAAAGCTAGCGATTTGCCTTTGTATGATTAAAACCCGGCTAAATATGTTAAACGTTGCTATCACTATGAGATTATATGTGTTTAATTGGAAATAGGAATAACTTTTCGGTCATCAAAACAAAACTTTATTTTTCTCGGATCGGTGCGAATGTTACTTACGACATAATGAAAATTTGCTCTTCAAATCACTGATTCAACAATTGATTGAATGGTATGATAATAGTTTCATTATTCAATTTTGTATTGTTCTACAATACAACGACGATACAATATGTTGCTTATTACATTTAGGCTGTTTAATTTTAATAGAATAACAAAATCTGTTCTGCGATGAATATTGTTTTATTTTATATCGTTAAAAGGTGTTGCTTAAAAAATTAAAAAGAAACATAAATCGAGAACATAAAACATATGTTTGGTAGATAAGGTTGATGCGGAATAATAATAATAATAAAATAAATAAAAAAATACTTGAGAGCAGGGCTCGACAAAGTCATTTTCAATTGAAAATCGTCAAGCGACGGCGAAGCTAACAACCATCACTTTCAATTGAAAGTCATTATGTCTTCTCTTCGAGCAGATTCCCTTCAACATCAACAAAACCACTTTCGATCAGTTTTCATGCTGTTTTTTTTTGCATCGTTTGTGTTCATAACGTTTTTCACTGTCAAATGAACTTAACAGCGTTTTGAAATGAAGCACTCCTTACCGAATTCACGCGGTTTGTTTTGATTTTTGACACATCACTTGGTTCATTTCAGCGCATGCGTATACGCTGTTTCAAAACTACCCAAATTTGGGTAGAATCCACCCAGATCGGTCAAAACTGAACCTACCCAAAAATAAGTAAACTGTGTTGGGAGCGAAAAGTTAACAAATGAACAACATCGACATGAATCCGATCGACGTTGTTAATTTGTCAACTTGTCACTCCCAACATAGTTTACCCATTTTTGAATAGGTTCAGTTCTGACAGATCTGAGTGGATTCTACCCAAATTTGGGTTGTTTTGAAATAGCGTGTATAGAAAATGTAACCAATAATATTACGCATTAGATGTTTATATTTTCCTTAGTAGTTGGTACACAAATTTTAAGCAGCTGTGATTAGCATGGAAAAGTCATCCAGAGACCTGCAATCGTCCTGCATTGATTCGACGATAAAGAGCTGTTGGAATCCACCTAAATCAGGGACAAGCAAAAAGTAAGTATGGTTGTGGATCGTTCATTGCCTTGAATACAAAATCCCATTCGTTTTTTTCTGTCTTGCCAGTTACCACCACAAGCAACTCGAAAAAAAACATCAACTCCCACAGCGACAGAAGCTTCCCCCCGACCGATCCGTGGCTGAAATGTAGTTTCTGTCAGGTAAGCGTACGGTAAAAAGCCTGCCTGTATGTATATGCACATGAAAACACAACCATCTTATTGAATCAGTGCAATGTATTCTATTTTCGCTGCCCACAGGCGACAATGAAACCTCCCTGGATTCGGATGCCAAAACTCTAGGGCAAGAAACTGAAACGCTGGAAAATACGCTTGCCGCTCTGCTACATCCATAGAGACAAGGACGTGGTCCAATGCAGCACCTGTTTGTAGCCGTCGGATAACACCACACAGCTAGCCGGGTATACTGGGAAGCAATAGAAAACATTATTCTTAAGCTACCACCATCGGCGCCGACAACTGATTATTTGCGACTTACACTTGAAGAACTGGTCAAATGCACAACTTGTGAGCTATTTTTAAGCAGATCTGTAACATACGTTTACTTCAGAGACTGCAATCTGTGCGAGAAACATTTCCCACAAGGTGAGAAGGTTCATAACCTTATCTTCGGTTATAATGTTGATTTTCGTTACTAATTGAGTTTTTATTCATTTTAGGTGAACAAGAGTGGATCAACTTAGTGACTCCCTGCTCTTTCGATATGTTTTATGTCCCCAACAACTGTGGCAATATTTAATGAATTTAGTTAAATCTGCACTACATATACCAGTGCATGCTGTTCCTGTACGGGAATTTTTTCCCCCAGCCGATGAATGCTTTTGTCGAATGAAGTTAACCTTTACGATACCAATTAAGATTTGTTTTTATTTTCTTATTTTCTAATTTAAATGCACTTCAATTTTCTATATTTATTAGATAGTTGCTGGAAAAAGGGTAACAGTAAGGGTTCGATTCTTTTTCTCACAAATAAATAATTTGAGGAATTTCTTTTCTCGTCCAAATTAAATTTATTTTCCTTTTTAATTATCAGTAAGTTAAACATAAGTAATAATAAAAAAAAAACACAGAAAGAAATTGAATTTACTGCTTTTCATCTTTCCAGTTACACATAGCCCGACCAACCATTCGTGAAACTTCTTCAAAGTTCTTTATACAGAAATAAAGATTTATGTCAGCAATTCTTTACTTTAAATTTTCTATGATTTCGATGTACACATTTAAAAATCTTTATTGATCGATACTTACATTTAAGATTATTTCTTCATCGGTCATATGATACACAGCAAAAAAAGTTGTTGAATATTACATCGAAACTGCTGCAACCAAGTCAATCAATCGGTTGTGTAATATCACATTGTACGATGTACATCGATTTTGCGAACAAAATTACATCCATTGATGTAATATTGTATCTGCTTTTTGCTATTACATCATTATTTCATGCATCAGCTTGAATTACGTTGATCGATATTACATTTTTTTTTGCTGTGTAGTAATCTATAAAGGTGCCATACTAAATTTCTTTTAATTTCGATATGTCACATGGACTTTAGTATTCTTTACAAATATTCATCAATAAATATTTAAATACTGATATCATCGTAACTTTGAACTTTGACAAAGAACAACAAAGATTGCCATCGATACACATTTATAATCTCCTTGTTGTCGATTTGCAACGCTGGTTAAAGAGAGTTCGAGACACACCAGGTGACAGGTGGCAATGTTTATATTATTTATCGACATATTCGGCATATCATCGGAAGAAGCAATCTGCCGGTAAATGAACGAGAAGACCGATGGCCGCGATGCAGCAAATGTTTACTATTGTCGTTCTTCAAGTTTACGTCTATATATTTAATAACCCGTGATAGCATGCGTGGTGGGATTCTCGGCATTTGGAACCCAATGAGGAAAATTTACACCTTTTTGACCTCTATTATACCTACATGGCTGACTGGTTGATGGTTATGACAAATAAATATTGAATTCATGTATGAAAAGATTTACAGAAATTTCAATACACCACATACTAGAGTGTGTTTGCCTGTCGTTGATAAGCTCATCAACAGCAGCCGTGGATCCGAGGATTAGCAACCAACAACGAAATCAGTACACCCCAGATGGCATGGGATCGAAACTAGAAATCATGCAGATAAAAAATCGCAAATAAAATCAGCAGTTGTGTATCGATATTTTGATTTTACAACAGAAATCGATATTTTGATCTGGCAACACAATCGATATTTTAACATTGGTAACGATTGGTAGCAATATTTTGAGAAAGATCTTTATAAACGATTCACGATTAGACTTTTAGCATCTTTACAATTATTCATGAAATGGTGACGATCGCTATCGATTTTTCTTATGAATGGCTTTGAAGATCGATGTATAGAAAATTAAAGAAAATTAACGAAATGGTTGGTCGGGAGTAGGCAAAATTTTGTCGAATACTTCCTTGTTGAGCTTCACTAACAACAAGTTTTGCAGAGTGTCTTCCCCAAGTGTCGATCGTGTGTTTGTTAGAATCAGGGCCAAAGCACTGACCCTAATAAAAAATAACCATAAACGAACGATAACCCAAATCATTGAACTATTCCATAAATGGTTTGGATGATACCCAGAACACGTCGTTAAGCAAATTAACCATACAATTTTTATTAGGGGAACGCTCGCTCAACCGACACTTGATTGGACGGTGTGGCCAGCACGACGGAAACCACCGCACTGAGTTCAGGGTGGGTTCCCTTACGGTCCATCCAAAATCTCCAGCTTAGCTTTAGCTTAGTCTGACTGCACGTATCGATAGTTGCACTCCGTGATTGATCTGAACCAGTGAAATTGTACAAAGAATCAACTGAATGGGGCTTGGTAGTAACCTGCCATTCTCAGTGTACATGTTCCAGTGACTCCTACCTTTAAAGATCAATAATGTCACCGGCCACGTCCTTGCAATCAGGTGGGAGAGGGAAGGAATGTTAGTGTGTGACTTTTGTTGTTTTGGGACCGTGTTTACCTCTGCATCCCACAAAAGTCACAGGAAGGAGGTTTTGTTAGTGGGTTAGGTTCGTTGGATCAGGATTCACCTTGATAAGTGATGCGATCTTTTGTTTTGTGTAGTTATTTATAAGTGTTTTCGATTTATGCTCTAAACAGCCGGCTGTCTAGAGATGTAGATCATTATTAGATGTGTGTATACCGATTTAAACCAACAATAAGGATACTGTTGGGGCCCCTCACAAAGTGTGATGATGGTTTATTTTATTTTATCAATGACCAAAATAATTAATTATAAGCGGTTTGAACCGATTTAAACCAACAGCAAGGATGCTGTTGGGGCCACTCACAAAGTGTGATGGTGGTTTACTTGATTGAATATAAAATAATTATTAGAACCGATTTGACCCGATTTAGACCAACGGCAAGGATACTGTTGGGGCCACTCACAAAGTGTGATGGTGGTTTATTTAGTTCGGAAGAAAATGAATATGTATACTTCTTTTTTTTTATATAATAGAACGAATTTGTACTGATTCAAACCAAAAGCAAGGGTTCTATTGGGGCAACTCACAAAGTGCGATGGTGGTTTATACTATAAGGGCATAAAACAAAATCAAGAGCCATTTCGGTTTCCATAGCTTCCTAGACACTCGGCCGCAAAATAATCTTATCCGACGGAAACGTCTCGATCATCGCTGCACAATGGTTTATTATAGCATTTATAAAGTAAATTTGAATACCTTATTGTTTATTTATTATCCATTTTGACTTGACTTGGTACCGTTCAGTTTTATGATGACAAAGTTGCCTGGAGAAAAGTGACAGTTCAAAATGTTTCGGAAGGGAGTCAGCTAGTGTCGTCCAAGTTCAAGTGCGGAAAAAATGCCATTTAAAGTGGTACAAACAATTGAAAGATGCGAAACATGCCTAACCGTAATTCTTTCTGGTTGGAAAGAAGCTGGAATCCTACACTGGCCGGAAAAAAAAACGCGGTAGCGAAACTCTCTCAAGACGAGTTCTCCATGCCAAACCCAATGTGGGAACGTATCAATTGAGTGAAAAAAAGAGAGTTCAAGACTCGCTTGGAGGCTGAAGCAGAATTGGAACAGATGTAGCCAGTTTCGGATACGGAGGCGAACGAAGGGAATAATCCACCACCGTCAAAGAAAGTTTGCCCCGAAGTCTACAAGTCCCCCAGTCGGAAGGGAAACACAATAAGAGACTTTAACGAAGTTTTCCTTATTCCTGGGCAGGAGGTTGACACCTGTGAAGCTGACTGTAAAATCCAGAATCAGATGAGATTATAATATATGCGACATAAATTCACTTTTTTATAGGGGAACATGTGATGTGAATAGAACCCACCATCAGTGCAAGGATTACACATGACTGCAGATACTTCACTGGTTGTAAAGTTCTGCCTGATGGTTTGTTGCAGCTGGGTGAATCAACTTCATTGAAGACCTTTGGAAGACAAACGACAAGATGTACGTCTATCAACACGTGACAAGGGACTGGCAAATCCACGAACACTTGTCCAGTCTACAAATCCATTGAAACCCTTAGGCTGCCCCCCCCCCAAACCCAACATATAATAATGTTTGATTGATGAAACGTATTCAAAAAAGGGATATTTAGAGAGAACAATCTTCAACTGGAACGTACTCACCAAATCAATACATCCGGGAGCGCATTCTCGATGCTTAATTTTCTCTAGTCATTTTTAAACAATTCCTCCTCCAGCGAATCCAAACACACAATAACTAAATATCACTTTTCTTCTTCATGTCACTCTGTGCACAAAAGCAATGCACACCGCAAAAACCTAATAATAGATCAGCGCGGTCGAGTCACACCGTCAACAAAGGGAGCGAGAGCACACCAGGCACCAAAGCAACAGGGGAAAAACATCAGCACAAATCATTCTAAATAGAATTATCGCGTCCGGGACATAAAACTATTCAAATGCGAGCACCGAAAAACTACACGGCAGCACAAAGATAGCCCGAGCTCTAAAAAAAAAGCACACAGCGGAGCAAAAACACACAACCGTTCTCGGACGCTTCTCAAAGCGGACCTCTACGGTCCATCCAAAATCTCCAGACATCAAAATTGAAGCTTCGTCTTGGTTCAACTTCCACTGCCTTCAGTTGCTGCATGAAACCAGTTTCTTCACCAGCAACTATGGTTACCGTTGAGCTTCCAAAAAGTTGAGTGATGAAGATATCGTTTTCGTCTTCCAGAGAAATAGATGATGGCGGATCACAAGAGGTTTTGGATTTTAGGGAACGAATATCATGGATCCTGTTCCAGGTCTCTACGATGTAAGCCTAAAATAAATCAATAAATAAATAATTATAATTCAATGCATACGAGTGTAGGTGGAGCGAGACAGCGGGTGGGGTGCAATGGGACTTTCTTTCAATAAAGTAAAGTTGGTGTTAGGTTGATGTGGCGGTAGATACGGTGGGAGATAGATAGAGTGGGAGTTACAGTGGGTGGTAAATAGCGTGGGAGGTTGAAACCAAGAAGATTCGAGCTTCTATATGGTGATCTCAAGTGCATGTCCAAAGTAAACAGCCATATTGGAGCTATCCTTTGATTTTTTTCCATTTGAAAGTGGATTCCGATATCATATTTGCTGTCTCTGCTGCCTTTACCTACCCCGCTTCCCTCTATCCCACAAACTGAGTACTTGAGAACACCTCTTATAAGTTTGACTCATCTTGGTAGATAAAGTAGAAGGTAGATAGAATAAGTGGTAGATAGAATTAGTGCTAAATAGAATGAATGCTAGATAGAGTAGGAGGTAAAAACAATGGGAGTTAGACTGGGAGGTAGAGAGAGACAAAGAGTGCGAGATAGATCTCGAGGTAGATAGAGCGGGATATAAATAATGTGCGAGGTGATACAATGGGGGTGGATAGAATGGATGGTAGATTAAGTGGGAGGAAAATAATATAGTTGTTAGTTGGTAGATAGAGTTGGAGGTAGATACAATGGGAGATAGAGTGGAAGGTACAGTGACAGATAGATAGACCATGGGAGATAGATAAAGTGGTAGGTATATAGAATTGGAAGTATAGCTTTCTCCCGAGTTCCCATTGAGTTCAACCCACCGCTTTTTCTCGGCGGGTGTTGAAGCAATCGCTTTGATTTTCTGCAAGTGACTAGATCTTCATTGACACTTATCACATGCAGCTCAGATCAACTGATTGAAAACCCGGCGAGAATAGCGGTGGGTAGAACTCAGAGGGTAACGCGTTCTTCGTAGGATAGCTGTAGAAAGAGTGGGTGGTATAGTGACAGGTAGATAGAGTGGGAAGTAGAGGAAAAAAGATATATGAAAATTGTATGTCTTACTTGAATCTCCTCTTTTTCCTCGTTGCTGAATAGCTTTGAACCTGCGTAGTTCAATCGCGGATCTAGATAAAGGGCCATTTTAAAAGCCCTTGAGTTTTGCAAGTTCCGCAAACGGTTATTCATACTAACAACCAGCACACCAGCGAAAGGATTCGGCTCGGTTTGTTTGACCTTTTGAGTGGCAATAATCCACTGCAGGTAGAAATCAGATAACGATACATGCTCGGCCTGCATGTCTTTTGTTAATACGTACAACGGTTTGAAAGCTTGCTCGTACTTTTCGGCGAATTCCCAACTGTCAGACAGATCTATAACAAAATCGGAAATTATTTAAGGAAATGAAAGGACACTTTAAACATTACCCAACTCCTGAAACTGCTCTGCAAGTTGATCGAAAAATGGCCGCTGCTCCAAAAACTTTAAAATCATTACATAAATTCCACCCCAACGCGTTTGCCCCCAGACCGGAGGATAGGTAGCGCCATGTAGCTCAAAAAACGTTGTGTATTTTACCGACCTGCATTTTTTGGCCACTTTCGTCAGTTTCTGCACTTCTTCGTTGGATTTGTTTACTACGTCCAAAATTGCTAACTGTAACGTATGCACTGCACAGCGAACAAGATTCAGATGCTCCTGCAGTTGGTCACTCAACGCCGCTGTAAGCAACTCCTGTTGTTTTCCATCCTCTTCTTCAGTCGTTATGTTGACTCCATTCGGATCGTCGGTGGCATCGTATACTGTGAGAAAGTTTGCTTCGAACTCCTGCTTCAACTGCCGCACAGCAGCCAGCATGTTGGCACCGTTGTCACACGTTACAGAAAAAATCTGATCAACAGTCAAGCCGTAGCTTTGGATCACCATCATGATCTGATCCTTTAAAAAAGCCGCGGTCTGTCTCTCTTTGACTTCGATGACCCCTGGAGGTTAAACGTAAAAATGACCATTACGTAGGGTAACAGTGTTTAATTCGGCTTAATGTTCCTATTTTGGATCTCACTGAAAGCAAGTTGTTTAAATCCTAGGTTTTGCGTTAAACCCAAAATAGGAGCATACGCTGAGATAAAATCCCTTAACCCTTTGTGATAGTGCGTATGTTACAAACCCAGTGTTCGCGTGACAATTTTATCGTCGATCGCATACCTGGCCAAAATGGCCAGCACGTGCCTGTTGTGACGTGCCGCAGAATCAACTTTTAACGAGACTAAGACTCCCTTCATCTCGCTGGCGATCGCATCATTCACCATCTCCGCACTGACTGTCACATGGCCCTTCAATATGCGGGTATCCATCGACATGCCTACCGCTGCTGTAAGAGGATCAAAAAGCTGGCGCATAGCTTCCCATTCCAAGCAGGATACGGGAAGATTATGGTTTGCGACCAGCTTTACTGATACTTCAACAATCAGTCGCTTGTCAATGGCGCATGGCCGTTTCGTGACAATCCTCGGCTTTTTAGCCGACGGTTCTCCTTCCTTTTGCAACCCTTCGCTGTTGGCCTTTTCCGTGTGGCGTGTTCGGAAATGTCGAACAAAATTGTTTATATCCAACTTTCGCTGTATATAGGTGCACCCACTACCGCTATCGATGTTACAGATGGCTTTATCGCCATCAAGCGTAATGAACTTAGCGGCCTTTTCTGCTAGCGTAACACCATCATTAAGTTTTTTCTCGCATTTTTGTGGAGTCGAGGATGGTCCTGGACAATCCATTTTTCCGGTTCAAAGTAATAAATAGGAAAGAAGGAACGACGCGACGCGTGACAAGTCGATTCAGCACCAAATTGAAGTGAAACCAAAACAAATCGAAGGAGGCAGATTAAATCGAAATTTTCGAGTCGTTCATTACGTCAATTGAAACAAGTTTTTGCTTCAAATGAAATGAACTCATGAACTTGAAGAACGAAAATAACTGATAGACAAGTCTTGTTTGACAGAAAACACGTTCATCGTTACTCGATAACAAGATGCAGAATGAAATATTATTATTATTTAGCTTTATTTAGGAGGCTTTCAGCCTTAGGCTGGTTCGCCTCCAACAGAATGAAATAGACGAAAACGATCCTGCTCGAAACGAAACGATTGCGTGAAAAGTTCATTTTCCTTTTTATGTTTCGAAAATGCTGGACCCTGCTTGAGAGTTGCGTCAAGTAATGCAACACTCCATTTGAGTTGAGCTAAATTAGCGTGAAGCATGACAGATGTGAAAGGAAATCCTGTCACAGCAAGCAGTGCTGGATAAATGAGGGAAAAAACGGATGGTATAAATATGAGCTACCTAAACTTGTTGAAGACATTCTTGTAACGAACTTTGGAAGCGACGGATAGCAGCAGCAGCAGCAGCAGCAGTAACAACAGCAGCAGCAGTAACAACAATAGTAGCCAGTAGCAGCAGCAGTAATGGAAGCGGAGCGGCCGTAGCAGCCGAGATTCGTGTAGCCGTGACCGAGGCTGGAAACCTCGGTCCGGTCACGACAATATGTTGGAACATATGTTTAGTAACAATTCAATAAAAAATGAAAACATTTAGTTGATGTTAGTAAAACAAAGCATCGTCACAGAAAATATGCCAAATTGATGTAAAGTAATTCGTACATGTGTGGTTTTCGAGATACGATTTCTACATATCTCTAGCCAAGGTAACTTCAAATCAGTTGGCTACATCTCTTGCTGTAGCATTGGCATCCTGATCGACGTCTTGAATAACATTGCGTGCTGCCGCGTATCTTGCTGCCTTTTTCAGATTTGCGATTTTTTCTGCGATGCCCTTATTGATTCGCGTTGGATGAGCTAATGTAGTGATTTGTGCCAAATTGTTAGTACCGACTCGTGAGGCGACGCGCTGTTGTACTTTTTCTGTTGGTAGGTAACATGCATTAGGGTATGTTATGTTTAAATTTTGTTCAAACTACCACACTTACCATAAATAAATGCCAACTTCTTGGGTGAGATCCCAGGACGTGGCTTAGCGTTTTTGAAACGGTTGGTTGCAACACCACAAACTGACATAGTTTGCAATTTTTTAGTACCATAAAAGAACAAAGACATATTCTGCCCGAAAGAAACATCTGTTTTGGATGCAGCGCTGATTTCTTCAATTTGCTGGACAGTCATATCGATTTCAGGTTTCGTTGTAAATGTCTACAAAAATGAATAAATGTCAATATCAATAAAAATTAAACAGAAAACAAACTAACCAATTTGGTATTTGGGTCCAATTGTGCTTTTTTTTTAGTTTCACAGAAAAGCAGGGGAATAGGGTTTTGGATCTAATTTCCGTCCTACTAAGCACATCCCGCACTTTACCTCTCTTTTTTGAAAGGGTTTGAAAAAAACATGGATTGTTTTCATTAAAGATAACTTCTAAATTTATTCACCTTTCCATACGTACCGTTGGATTTGATAAAGAGTCAAACAATGTGCAGATATTATTAAAAATCTAACACTGCTTCTTGATTCTAAATTCGTCCTACGAGTTTCAATTCCGTCCTAACGCATTGAAACGCCATTAGATTTTCTTCGTCCTGCGGATGATGGTAGAAAAAGTGGATTCGCTAGAAGCGCTTCTATTGTTTTGAGAACAACGAGTGTAAATATTCATACAATGCGCTGTAATAGGCTTCATGTTGTGGCTTATGAACTAACGGATCGAAACAAACGTATTATTGTTTTGGGCATGGTGAAATCATTGATATTATTGCTGATTTCTGCGCGATAGAACGGAAATGGGCGATTACGACGAAGTAGCGCTCTTCCCTACAATAAAATTTGTTTTCGTTGAAGGATGTATCACAACAAAGGTAATTTAGATGCATAAAACAAATTTACAAACAACGTAGCACAAGAAACAAGGAAACGGGAAAGGAGACGTGAACACCAAGGTACGATGGAGACTCACTCATCACATTGGAACAACCAGATAAGTACACTTGCTTTTTATTTTATTCTACACATATATCCCAATCATTTTATAACTAAATACGTGCCAGAATAAAAAGTTTTTTTTTCTGGAAGTGATAATACACTTGTGTATTTTTGCGGGGCTTATTGTATTAGAAAATGACCTCAGAATGTACGTGCAGAAACAGGCATTCTTGAAATGGGTCATTTGATGTACGGTAGAGCTGTCACCTTCCATCTCCAGGGCTAAAAAGTATTTGCACATTCGACATGCAGAAAATGCAGATAAGTTTCTTCCATAAAAACTTTGCCGTTGGATTGTACTCACACACTCACACACACACACACACATACACACACACACACACACACACACACACACACACACACACACACACACACACACACACACACACACGCACACACACACACACACACACACACACACACACACACACACACACACACACACACACACACACATACACACATACACACACACACACACACACACACACACACACACACACACACACACACACACACACACACACACACACACACACACACACACACACACACACACACCCACACACACACACACACACACACACACACACACACACACGCACACGGGCTACAAATGGTGAGTTGACAACCTAGCTCTGGTTCTCACAAGTTCCTACCTCACGCCTCCCCGTGGTGTAGCCTGGGCAATGTTGTCCTTCTGACAATAGCAAAGTGAGGGGGTGCGACGCGAACACTGGCGCGGTAACCATAACACGGCGATAGAGGAAATGCTTCGTCAACCCGCAGGAGTGCCAACCGGCACATTAGGATCGACGCCAGTAAGATCCTTATTACGGCATACTGGATACGGCATGGAACTATGGACACGACACGGTACAATGGATTGGATATCACGCTACAGGGCTGACAGTCGTGCTATTCTGCTCCCTAAGTAAAGAAGGGTGACACCTTCTTGAAATGGCGAGTGGGCTAATAGTGCGGCTGCCCCCGTCCCGGTAAAACCTTGGCAGGCCTCCGGATACGTTCAAAACTCGTCACCAATTGGTGATTGGTGAGTAGTAGGCTCAGATGTAACATTCCTGACTTACGCCGATCTGGCTCTGAACACGGCCCCCATGAAGGACCGTGTCAACCCTAGCATGGCCTCCCTGCTTGCATAGATAACCATGGGATCACGATAGGAGACTACATACAACGAGTGGAGATAGCGGCCCGAAGGGGGGACCCATCAGAATGGATAAAATTGGAGAAAAAAATAAAAATGAAGAAAAAGAAAAAACCAAAAAAAATATGAAGAACGACGGCAATACGCCAGACAGTGAAAACGAAGGAGCAAACGTGTTCGCAAGGAGTGGGATATTGCAGAGATCACCAGTGTCGAACCTGGGGGTCACTGCGAGTTCCAGCAGCAGCAGTAAGTTTCAAGAAGAGCAGCCAGGCGTTGGGCTAAGCCAGATATTCACACCAATATCCAGTAGTAGCAAATCCCAAGAACTGCAGCTCGGGAGAACCAAAATGACGGAGGTCAGGAGGAAGATCGATGATCTCTATGTGTTCGTGAAGGATAAAAACAACGTACACAAAGAGATCAAGCAACTTGTGACCGGTATCAAATCCGGCATAACAGTGGCAGATCGGGAATGTCAAGAGTGGAGAAAAAGGGCCGAAAATGCCGAAAAGGCTCTGCTGGAGGCCAAGGAGAGCATAAGACTGGCTCAAGCACATGAGACTCCGAAGGGACCCACAAATCCACGTCCTGAAAAGAGAGATAGGGACACGCCAGGAGATGAGGAGGAGCCCAAAAAACGCAGGGACGACGAGAAATGCATCAAGGAGATGGGAGAAAATGGTGCGTGGCGTAAAGTCGAGAACCAGAAGGAGAGGAAGAAAAAACAGAAGGAAGATGAAGTGAGGAAGAAGGAAGAGGAAGCGAGGAGGAAGGAAGAAGCAGCGAGGAAGAAGGAAGAGAAGAAGAAGGAAGACAGGAAGAATAAGGAGAAGCCTAGGCCTCGTAGGGAGAGAAGCAAGGGTGACGCTCTGGTTGTTGAGGCGAAGGACAAAACGTCCTACGCAGCACTCCTCCGGAAAGTGAGAGACGATCCGGAGTTGAAACAACTAGGCGAGAATGTGGTGAAAACCAGGCGAACCCAGAAAGGCGAGATGCTATTCGAGCTGAAAAGGGACCCTACGGTTAAGAGCTCAGCTTTTAAGGAGCTCGTCGAAAAATCTCTTGGCGAGACGGCGAACGTAAGAGCCTTATCCCAGGAGTCAGTGGTCGAGTGCAGGGATCTGGACGAGATCACAACAGAAGACGAGTTGAAAAGTGCGCTGAAGGTGCAATGCAACCTGGGAGACGTACCGATGGCAATTCGGTTGAGAAAGGCGTATGGTGGCACGCAGACGGCGTCGATACGACTTTCTTCGGACGCAGCTAACGAGCTGCTGAAGACTGGCCGAATCAAGGTTGGGTGGTCAGTGTGTCCGTTGAAAGCTATTCCTCGGGTATCTAAGAAAATGGAGAGATGCTACAAATGCATGGGCTTCGGTCACCAGGCGAGACACTGCAAAGGCCCTGACAGATCTGATCTGTGCAGGAAATGCGGAGAGAAGGGGCACGTTGCAAAAGACTGTACAAAGCAACCGAGGTGCATGCTCTGCAAAAAGGAGGACGGAAATGGCCATGTGACGGGAAGTTTCAGGTGCCCTGAGTTCAAGAAGGCGATGGTGGGCCAGCAATAATGAAGGTAACCCAAATAAATCTCAATCATTGTAACACAGCACAGCAACTGTTGTGGCAGTCAACAACGGAAACAAAGTGCGACGTTGCAATCATTGCAGAGCCATACCGAGTCCCTCTCGATAATGGTAACTGGGTGGCGGATAGAGCAGGAATGGCGGCCATACAAGTCATGGGCAGGTATCCCATACAACAAGTGGTGGCAAGCTCATATGAAGGTTTCGTGATCGCCAAAATCAATGGAATCTTTGTATGTAGTTGCTACGCACCCCCGAGATGGACAATTGAGCAGTTCCACCAGATGCTAGATGGGCTCACCGAAGAGCTCATTGGACGGAGACCAGTCGTCATCGCAGGAGACTTCAATGCTTGGGCAGTGGATTGGGGGAGCAGATGTACCAACGCAAGAGGGTATAGCCTGCTGGAAGCTCTGGCAAAGTTGAACGTCAGTCTGGCCAACGAAGGAACCATCAGCACCTTCCGCAAAGATGGTAGGGAATCCATTATCGACGTTACTTTCTGCAGTACGTCGCTAATGGCAAATATGAACTGGACGGTGTGCGAGGAGTACACCCATAGTGACCATCAGGCGATCCGGTACAGTATCGGCGAACGAACACCGGTGGAAATGCGGAGGACGAAAGTAAGCGAGCGGAAGTGGAAGACGAAGGCATTCAATAAGGATCTCTTCATCGAAGCTCTAAGGGTAGACAACAGCGTCCCGGGCCTAAGCGCGAATGAGTTGACCGAATTATTAGCAAGGGCATGTGACACAACTATGCCGAGAAAACTGGAGCCAACGAACAGGCGGCGTCCAGCCTACTGGTGGAACGAGGAAATTAGCACCCTCCGTGCTACTTGTCTTCTAGCCAGAAGGCGTGCTCAGAGAGCAAGAACAGAAGCAGACAGAGAGGAGCGCAGGGTGGTGTTCCGAGAGGCCAGGGCTGCACTGAAACGAAAGATAAAGCTGAGCAAGTCAAATAGTTTCAAGGAGTTGTGCCGCGATGCCGATGCCAACCCCTGGGGCAACGCATACCGAGTTGCGATGGCGAAGATCAGAGGCCCAACGATGCCGGTTGAAATGTGTCACAACAAGCTGAAAGTCATCGTGGAGGGACTTTTCCCACAGCATGACCCAACGAACTGGCCACCTACACCATATGGCGAGGTAGATGAAGACAACGTTGAACAAGTCTCCAACGAGGAACTCATAGCAGCAGCGAAAGGGTTGAAAGCGAATAAAGCTCCCGGCCCGGATGGAATTCCCAACGTGGCGTTGAAGGCGGCGATCCAGACGTTCCCGGACATGTTCAGGATGGTGCTGCAGAAATGTCTGGACGATGGTCAGTTCCCTGATAGGTGGAAGGTACAAAAGCTTGTGCTGTTGCCGAAACCCGGAAAACCGCCGGGGGATCCTGCATCGTATAGGCCAATATGCTTGCTGGATACTGTAGGAAAGCTCTTAGAGAGGATCATCCTCAACAGGCTGACGAAATGCACGGAGAGTGAACACGGATTGTCGGAGAGACAGTTTGGATTCCGGAAAGGGAGATCGACGGTGGATGCAATTCGGACAGTGATTGACAGAGCCGAGAAAGCTTCCAAACAGAAGCGGAGAGGAAATCGATACTGCGCCGTGATTACGATCGATGTCAAGAATGCATTCAATAGCGCCAGCTGGGAGGCCATCGCCAAGGCGCTCCATAGAATGAGGGTTCCAGGCTACCTCTGCAGGATTCTAAGTAGTTATTTCCAGAACCGGGTCCTTGTCTACGTGACAGACACGGGGCAGAAATCGCTTAGAATCACGGCGGGGGTTCCCCAAGGCTCCATTCTAGGTCCTACGCTGTGGAACGGAATGTACAATGGCGTGCTGACGCTCAAGCTGCCCAAAGGAGTTGAGATCGTTGGCTTTGCGGACGATGTCGTCTTGACGGTAACCGGTGAGACGCTGGAAGAAGTGGAAATGTTGGCGGCTGAGGCGATAGATACGATTGGTAACTGGATGCAAGGAGCGAAGCTGCAGATAGCCCACCACAAAACAGAAGTGATGTTGGTCAGTAACTGCAAAGCAGTGCAGCGGGCAGAAATTACCGTTGGAGAGCACACCATTGCTTCGAAGCGCATGCTTAAGTATCTGGGAGTGATGATCGACGACCGGCTAAACTTTAATAGCCACATCGAATATGCTTGCGAGAAGGCGACGAAGGTCATCAACGCAATAGCCAGAATCATGCCGAACAATTCTGGTCCAAGCAGCAGCAAGAGACGTCTTCTGGCTAGTGTTTCCTCATCAATACTAAGGTACGGAGGTCCAGCCTGGATTGAAGCGCTGAAAACGAAGCAGAACCAAAGGAAATTGAGCAGTACGTTCCGGCTCATGGCCATGCGAGTCGTGAGTGCGTACAGAACCATTTCGATGGAGGCAGTATGCGTTATCGCCGGTATGATCCCAATCGGCATCACCTTGGCGGAGGACTACGAGTGCTATATGACGAGAGAAACCAGAGGAGTACGAAAAATGGTGAGAACGGAGTCGATGGCTAAGTGGCAGCAGGAGTGGGATGCAGCAGAGAACGGTAGATGGACACACAGGCTAATACCGACTCTTTCGACCTGGGTGAACAGGAAGCATGGAGAAGTCAACTTCCACTTGACGCAGTTCCTGTCTGGTCATGGCTGCTTCAGGAAGTACCTGCATCGGTTCGGACACACAACGTCACCCTTCTGTCCGGAGTGTGGGAATGTGGAAGAATCACCAGAGCACGTGGTCTTCGAATGTCCTAGATTTGATGATGTGCGAGAGGATATGCTCGCCCTTAGCACGGAGAATGTCGTCGAAGAAATGTGTCGAGAGGAGGGCACCTTTAACGCCGTCAGCAGAGCAGTAACGCAGATCATGTCAGCGCTGCAGCGAAAATGGCGGGAAGACCAACTAGAAAGTAGTAATGTGCTCACACAAGTGCGAACTGAAAGCCGAAGCCGGGAGAACTCTCCGTCAGAGTAGGCTGTATCCACCACCAGGGATAACCGAGTAGAACGTGACGCTGGGAGATAAATGGCTCACAAATTGGAGAGACGATCAGCGAACTGGAAGCGCCAATTAGCTGAGGTAAAGTGAGGTGCGTAATGCACGGCCCCCTCCGAAGTAATACGACAAGTGGTTCCGGGGGAAAAGGGCAAGGCGTCTAAGGAGGTTTTAGTGCGGTAAGAATCCCACACACCGTGCCACCGCGACTGTGCGCCCAGTCGTCAAGCGGTGGCACGATGGCCTTTTTGAAGGTTTCCTCCTTGCCAAAAAAAAAAAAAAAAAAAAAAAAAAACACACACGCACACACACACACACACACACATACACACACACACACACACACACACACACACACACACACACACACACACACACACACACACACACACACACACACACACACACACACACACACACACACACACACACACACACAAGATGCACGATGAATGGTGCATACAACATTTTGATTTCTTTCAACACGGATGGAGTAGCTGTTTTCAATTCTAATATTAAAAAATCATTGTGGCCCATATTAGTGACAATCAATAATTTACCACCATCTCTAAGATTTTTGAGACAAAACATTATAGTTGCTGGGCTTTGGTTGTCAAGTAGTGAGCCTGACCTCGACGTATTTATGAAGCCGTTTTTGGAAACATTGTAGGCTCTAGCACACGAAGGCTTGTCTTTATCTAATAACATATCATGCAAAATTATCACTATTTGTTGTTGCGTTGACAGCATAGCACGCTGTAAACTTCAGCAGATAAAGCAGTTCAATGGATACGGAGCCTGTAGTTTTTGTATGCATCCTGGTTATTTAACTGAGAGTAAGCAAATACGTTATAAATATCTTGAAGTGCATAACAGAACTCATCAGGACACTGTTAGGGCGATGGATTTGTGCATGAAACGTGGCATAGCTGTAAACGGAATCAAAGGTGTTTCAAGTTTACTTTTGATTCCATATTTTGATATCATCAACAACTGTCCAGTTGATTACCCCTGTCCAAGGATGAGGGGCTTGATGATGATTTGTCAAGTGTCGCTATGATTTTATTTTTGCTATTTGTTAAAATTGTAGTTTTTCTCCAGTTTATTGATTTGAAAGGTTCATGCGAGTTAATTTCACGGAGCCGTAAATTGTAGTTTTATCATAATTTTAATATTAGCATAAAATAAAATAATAATTTTAAATTCGCTTTTGTAATGCTAAGGTAAATAGTTTGCTTTGAGTGTAAAGTTAATTTATAAGAAAGTTCTAACAGTTTTTTTTTTGCACTTCGAAACTTGACGGGCCATACCTCTAACATAGTAGCAGTGACAGTGTCGCATGTCCTAACAACAACTGCCTGCGACTAGTGTTCGAGGGGCCGACAGGGCTGAATACGGGTCAATACTAACAAAACTCTAACACTAACATGACCCCGAAACTAACGTTCATCCATTGCACTAATAGTTATAATGTAGTTGTACTTTCCTAATAACCCATCTATCACAGACAAACAGACATAACACTCGGTTTTACAGGTTGTTCATCGAATACGCATTTGACGGTAAATTTGAGTGTTTTTGGTTGGTGGTGCCGCCACATGGTCGGTTCCCTTGCGTTTGACGTCTGCACACTAGCGCCATCTGTTCAGCGTACTATCCATCACATGATACTCAACAGATGGCGGTAGTGTTTTAGTGACTATGTTTTGTGGAGAGAAATATTAAATGTGTTATTTCTGTTTGTCTGTGCATCTATGTTTCTTTTTCGTTGTGTGTGTGTGTGTGTGTGTGTGTGTGTGTGTGTGTGTGTGTGTGTGTGTGGGGGGGGGGTTAATGTAACCAATACTAATACCTTTCTCTCTGTTCTTTTATTCGTGTCCTATATCCCTTCACCATCACCCCATATCCCATCATCTTGACGAGAGATGACTTACTTGCATGGTGCATGCCCAAGTCGTACTACAGGATAATATGCTAAGCGTGGTTCTATCACAAATCGATAGAGCTGAGGAATAATGAGGTAAATTCTACACAGTATTTTAAAGGAGCCAACTCTCAGCAGGTAATAATAGCAATTAATAATCAAACAACCAAAAAAAGGTAAAAATGAATTTATTTATTTTAAGTACAGTAATGACCCGATTTTGTCAGCCCCTCCGCGCTTCAGACTTTTTTCTTTCAATAAGTTTACATAATCATAAATCTAAATTTTTCTCATTCGTCATTCGTTAAGAGGGATATTTAAAGTATACTTTGGTGCAATAGGTTCAAGAAGATTACTGAAAAAGGGCATGGGTTTTGTAGAACATTGGAAAACATTTTCAAAAAAGGGGGCTGACAAAATCGGGACATTACTGTATTCCATTTACATTTACATGATTTATCACATATTTTCGGAGAGCTTCGAGGTTGGAGCGTAGTTGCTTTTGTAGATGGGCACGTCATTTGTCGGTTTCTCGCGAATTGGCGGTCAGTCTGGGAAAACTAATAACACAAACAGGTAGAGGAATAGTTCCTCTATGATTTGGTATAGTTTGTTTGCACGATTGTTCTTTTGTTCGCGGGAGACCGACGATTGACGTGTTTGTTTGCAGGGGCGATTGCGCCCAGATCTCGGGGTTCTCCGGATTTATGGTCGTAATACACAGTTGATCACAATACGAGCCTAAAAGCTGCAGTGACCTAGTGAGCACCATAGCTCGAGTCGTCTGAAAGTATTGTGTATCGCATGGAGAGCCCAACCGAGATTCTAGCCTATTAAGACTGCAGTTGGTCAACTCTCGAAAAAAAAAAAAACAAAACAACTGTCCAGTTGATTACATGCATTCAGTTTTTCTTGGGGTTTGCAAACAATTTTGTGGACTGTGGTTCGAATTCAGTAGTAATGAATATTGTATAAAACGCTACATTGGGAAAGTAGATAACATTATGACATCCATACGCTCTTTTCAAGAATGTTCAAGGTCTCCTCGTAAGGTTTCCGATAGAAAGACATGGAAAGCAAATGAATGGCAAAATTGGTTGTTAATCTATAGTTCCGTTTGTTTAAAAGACTTCTTACTGAAAAGTTACTACGATCATTTCCAATTATTAGTAATAGCAATAGAAAAACTTTTAAATGCATGTCTTACTGAAAAGCAAATTGCAGAGAGCGAAAGATTATTAAATGTTTTCGTTCAAAATTACGGTATCGATGAAATGAAGTACAATGTTCATTTACTTCTGCATATAGGCTCATGTGTTAGAAATTTCGGTCCATTGTTTCACTTTTTTGTTTTGAAGATATGAATGGAGTTTTGAAACAATTCATAAAAAGTCCAAAGCAACCTGTTATCGTTACGGGATGTAAGATCTACCACCGATTCCTAGTCCTGACTACTACAAACTAGGGGAACAGGATTTTTCAGTAATCCAAGGAACACATCTTAGTCCTTGTTACTTTTTATGCCTTGTTGAGAAATGAAGTGACAAGACTCGGCTTTGTCTACCGAGGATGATCTTGAAACAAGACAAAAAAATGAGTTAGTTGTCTTCATCTATGTGATTCCTAATCTTCTCTTCGTTGTTCCCTAGTTTGAAGTGGTTAAGACTAGGGTTCTGATGCATGGTCATTATCGGTGTCATACCTTAATTTTGTTGCTAAGGAATCCAATTTTGACTGACAAAGGGGCGTGCTTTTGGAGGGTGTTTCAATACTCCGAAGGGTATAAATAGCGGGACCTTTCAATTAGAGTCGGATCCTTGCGATAAATGCAAGAGTGGCAACTGTAAAAAAAAAACGAATACTTCATCAGTTCTCAATAGTGATGGAATAATACGACATGCACTAAACTAAGGACACGGGATATACTACAATAGATCAATTTACTGGTCGCAGTAGTGTTAGATCCCAAACAGAGGAAAAAAACCCGTTATCCAAATTGCAAGTCGGTGTATCTTAGTGCAAAAGAAAGATAGTATTGACCTTAACTTAATTCAAAATGAAGAAGCGCGAAAATTTTGTGAATCCTTTAATAATTATAAACAAAAAAAGTAAGTGTATAAATGAGGAAATGTAGAGGAACAAGTTCCACGGCAACTATTCGAAGAGCGAAATATTTTGATTCAGAACAGATATACGTTCAAACCGGAAAAAAATATCGCCTTTTAAAAAATCTTATGATGCAACATTTACTATGAATGTGAAAGGTGAAATTATGTATGGAATTATTCAGTACATCCTCTTTTCAAATTCCAATTTTTATTTTATTTTCAAACAGATAGTCGTTCAAAAAGAACAAGAGCTGATAATAGGAACAGAAATCAATAATAAAGCATTTGTTAAAGTTAATGACTCAATAAAGAAATGCGTCTGAATCTATGCTTCTAACAAAATGTATATAAGAATTGTTAAATATGTACCATGGGTCGACTAAATTGTATTTTTTGTTACAATAAAATGTGTAAAATATGTTAATTTATCACGTTCTTTCCTATGATCCAGTTCCAGTCATGTCTACACTGTTAAAAAAGGTTGAAACATAAGAAAAACAATTCATTGTGTTGTTACATGAGAACATGTTGTTTATGTATGGTAGTTACAGAACAAAAACATTTTGTCTTGTCATTCAAATACACTATATCGTATTGTATCTTATAGAGTCTACAGTATACGAATGGCTTATACAAAAAAAGCAATGGTTTATTTTTATCCGGGTAGCTACACCTGAGATGGCAGCTTCATCATGGGGAAAGGAGACCTTAGGTCAATCACCTTTGCATATCAAGGTTATTGCTTATCGCATTTTAGCTTATTACGTGCTCTCAAATAAGTGTTCTAGGTGCACTTCAACCAGGGGAAGTCGCTCGGGGCCACTTTGTGCTGACACTCACTTTAACACACCAAAAACCAAGGGGGCGTTACATCTAAATCCCAATTCTCCACTAGAGAATAAATCTACGAAAAATCTTCTTCCATTTCTCGCATCTACTTGCATCGTGCATCATCTCAGAAAATCGTCAGAATAGTCATCAATTTTCTTTCTAGCTACAGGTGCTAATAAAAATCATTTCCTCTACACTCAACATAGCTGAAAATGAAGACAACCTTAACAGACAGACCAACTACATGCATGAATAGAGATTGCTGACGTTTATCGTACGCACACTACGTCACGTATTCTTATACTCGACGTATACGCAAAATTTTTTCATCGGAAAAATAAGAGATGAACTAGCCCATGGCTAAAAATCTCTTTAATAAAGAAAAAAAAAAAAAAAAATTTCATCGGAAAAAAAAAATTCATAGTGGAAAATTTTCCCGATGAACACAAATCACTGACACAATCATACTTTAGCAATCTCTATAAGAATTTTGACATAACAGCATAACAACAATTGTTCTGATATCATTGTTTCCTAAGTAAAAAAATGGCGCACTTTGAAGTTGTGAACAGGCAACTTTTGCGCAGTTAGTTTTTAGAAGTAAATCAGTTACGTAGTCAGCAGTACTTGAATCTAGTAAGAACAACTCACCTAGGAGTCAGCAGTTTAATCAGTCTTAGAGTTACCTCTAACTCTACTATGGTAGTAGTACACACAAAGAACAAAAATTGTTGTAATAAAAATAATTCACTTTCAAATTGAAAATTCCTCAAACTTCATAGTTTCAACAACGAATATTTTCAAAACGAAAGCTATTTTTTTGGTTTGAAAGTTCTTCGTTCATTTATGACTCGTAATTTTAAAAGTACATTTTTTTTAAATGAAAATTGGTTTACTGTCAAAAATACCTCTAAACACCAACACTTTTGGCAGCACTGAAATTTTGCCGCTAAATTTTAAGATAAAACATGCAAAACAAAACAGAAGCCTACCAAAAAGAACCAACGCAAACTTTTAATTCTACCAATGGTTTTTTTTTTATTTTATTAACGATTATTTTTTGTGTGTAGTAGTGGCTACATTGCCCCCGAGTGGCTGGGTAGATATACGATAAACAACAAGATAAGAATATCAAGGCTCAACTACTACCGGCACATCCTTAGAAGCGATTCAGGCGGTATTTTGAAAACGGTACTCAAGTACAGAATACCAGAACCCAAGAAAATGGGAAGACAGGCATATACCTGGAAAACATGTATTCGACAGGACGTGGACAGGAGCAAAATTCAAATTAAAGCAGTCGGAATTTAAGACTAGCAGCGACTGTGACTGTGATAGTGAAACAGAAGACCTAGTTCCGTCAGACTTCTCCGGATTCAGTGATAAGGACCCCATCATGAGAGGAACCGATTCTGGCGAAGAAGTTGGTCTAGGGCAACGACAATAACAACCCACAAAGCATCCTCAGTCAACCAATGATTAAGCAACCAAAGTAAGCCCAGAATTTCATAGGGTAAGTTCACACAATCGTTATATTAACATGCTATCCCAATAGATCCCTATTCAAACGTGTTAGCAGCAGGCATGGGAAATCATTTGCATTCATTTCGTGCATTCATTTACATTCATTTGCCCCTAACTTTTTTCATCAAGAGAATTCCGCAAAATGATGTATAGAGATTTAGTAGGTTTTGTTATTAGCTACAACTTTTGTTCAAATCTCAAATCTGTATCTCTGATGCATCACGAATTAGAGCGGGCAGAACTTGTTACTGTTTTTCAGTGAATGTAAAATACATTCACTGGAAAATAGTATTGGATTCTGTTCGCTCTGGTTCGTCATACGTAAGAGATACGGATTTGAAATGTTAACAACACTTGTAGCTAATAACAAAACCTATAAAAGCTTCATACATCATTTTGAGGAGTTGATGAAAAAAGTTAGGGGCAAATGAATGTAAATGAATGCACGAAATGAATGCAAATGATTTTCCATGCCTGGTTAGCAGTGCCTTTTTAACCACTATTGGTTGTCTCTTCTGGCGTTCGAGTAGCGGATCTATTGGACAAATCAGGTGCAGACAACTGAGCCCCCAAAAGGCTTTGGACTCTGGATGGAGCTGTTCTCCATCACCCACATCGTACGACTTTTAAGTCATTTATGCAGTAACAGCAAGATTTTAAATATTTGGTCAGCAGGTTGCGCAGTATTGAAAGACTAGTGCGTGCCTCTCGGGAATTTCCTTTTGCCAAGACACCGGAATTTACCTCGAAGTAATCTGGCATGACTGATTGATAGGGCTGTACCCACTGTGCGAGAGGTATTTGTATTTATTAAAAAAGTTACCAAACGACCGATTCAATCCAATCCAGATAGGCGGAAACTTTGGTGTAAACGCCAGGTATGAAACCTCCGCAGGAAATCCCGAACGAGGTCACCCCGACGAGGTAGTACACGCAGTTGTGGTCTTCGGTGGTGATCTGAAGTGGTCCTCCGGAGTCTCCATGGCAGGTGTCTTTGCCTCCTTCCACAGTGTGCGCACAGAGCTGGGATTCGATGATTGATTGTGGTAGTTTTGGGCTTCCAAGGTATGCCAAACTGCACTCGTCGTATGCCAGAATGTCAAGTCCCACTTGCATAAGAACGTTGGAATGGTTGCCGGCTGTTTGGAAAAAGATGTTCATTACAAATGGCCTCGTGGATGGTACTTACACTGTATTCTCACACGTGTCAATAGCTCCGTATCCGATGGCGATCGCTTTGCGGTTTGATTCTTCCGATGTCCACAAACACGCTGGTCGTATGGTTGGGCCGAATGTTACCGTTCGATTGAGTTTCACCAGACCGATGTCGTTGTATCTGCTTACGGATCGTTTATAAGTTGGATGCGCTACTATCTTTTCTATTTCAACATCCGTTCCCAAATAGCCGTCCTTCGTGGATTGCAGATTATAGTCACCCAGGCGAACAAGAACTGGAGGTCCGTCCGTAGTGATCAAACAGTGTCCGGCAGTCAGTACGTAGCGATCGCTGATGAGTGATCCACCGCATTTGAAGTTGAATTTGCCATTTTCCAACCAGCCTAGCGCAGCTATGTGAGGAAACTGCTCTGGCCTGGCAGGTGTACCGCCAACGATCAAACCAATCGCTTCGTCACATTTTGGAACAAAAACCCGCCGATCCGCTCCAGGATCCAACAAGAAACTTCCAAAGCTGATTTCAGTTGATGCCAGCTTCCGATACTCGTCACAATCTAGATCGATGGAAACAGAAAACCTTAAATTTCTATGCCTACTACGATGGCTACTCATCAAACACACATTGTTCACATTTTCGCATGGCCTGCTTGGGAACTGCATCAAACCGGGGACAGCAGACGATCCTCTCACGATTCGCTGCGTACCCGCAGATCTTCGGTCGAACACCCAGTTGCTGCACCTTTTCCAACTCTTGACAGGCAGAGCTGAGCGTGCAGATGCCGGTTTGATCGTTGATCGAGCATCGATCGCCCTCTGTTTGTAAAACAAAAATAAACCGTTGAATGCTGTGAAATCGAGATCGAACTCTGATAACGTAAACCTTTTAAAGCAACCGCTGTTACAATGATGCAGGAAAGAAACGTTAGACGAACCGCCATCATCGACGCTATGCTTGGAACTGAAGCTCAATAAACCGGTTTATTATGATAATAAAGGCAAGGTCAAACTACTTGACTTCGGATAGCGGTGAAAACTCAAACAAATACAAAAAAACCCATTTTATTCGCTGCCACCTTATTCTAAGCCCACACAATCGATTCGATCCAGTCTAAATAGGATGCGACGCGCGTGTAGATAGCCGGCACCGGTGACCCACACGTCTGTCCGAACGAAGTAATCCCGATGATGTAGAAAACGCAGTGATTCTCCTGCTTGGTCATCTGCAGCGGACCGCCGGAATCGCCCTGGCAGGTGTCCCGACCTCCGTCGACGTTCCCAACGCACATCTGACTGTCCATAATGCCTTTACGCAGTTGACGGCTGTTCGAGTAGCGTTGGTTGCACAGCTGGTTGTCGTAGATTTTCAACGATACCTTGAGCAGTTCATTCGATTTGTCTCCGTCTGTCGAATTAAAGTGACCTCATAAGCAGATGCAAACTCGATCGAAATGCTACGCTTGTAACTTACGATCTTCCGTGAGCCCGAATCCGGTAGCAACCGCATGTTCTATGCCCACATGGTGCTGATCGTACAGACATGCCGGTCGGATGAAATTGCTGAACGTTGCAGCTCTGTCCAACCGAACCAGGGCAATGTCGTTGTACAAACCTTGGTTTCGCTTGAAATCCGGATGTCGAATGAATTCTGAAATTGCCACATCCTTCGGCTTCGCACCGTCGTCGTCTCGGAACAGATTCTGATCGCCCAATCGCACAAAGGACGGTAGCTCACCATCGATTTCGACGTAGCAATGAGCTGCCGTCAGCACGTACTGATCGCTGACTAGCGATCCACCGCAGTCGAATGATATGAAGCCAGCCCGACGCCAACCGATGGCTGCCATGTGCGGAAACTCACCCGGCTTGGTCACGTTTCCACCGACGATCAACTTAACGATGTTGTCACACTTAGGAACTTCGTAGGTGACCACCGTAGGCGTCAGGGTCAACGCACTGATCGTGACGCGGTTGAACGACAGCTGCGAATACTCTTTGCATTCTGGTGATGAAAAAAAAAAAACGTGAAAGAGGTTATGTTTAGAACATTGGCGTTTAAATTGTTTCGAATACGCACTTTTAACAGCTTTCCGAGCGTACTGATCAGCGTCGGAAGGCTGTTGAACTCCCCAGATGGGTCGATCTTTCGGGTCATTATCGTCAAATCGGGTGTCGGGCAGCCCACTATCCGGGCAACAGACGATGGCCTCTTGCGAGGTGTAGCTGCAGATGGTGACGCGATTCTGCAGTTGGTTTCTGCATGCCGAATATCGCCGGCAAACGCCCGTCGATCCACCGTGCCGGCAGGCGTCATATTCTGCGGAAGATCAGACGAATCACAGAAATTGAAAACTGTGTTGATTGAGATCATTAAAAATTCGGAAACAATGACATTCGCATTACTTTGATAAACTTTCTCTTATTTATTTCAAGTGCAACAATTTGACTTATGGACAATGGCTGAACTAAATTTTAATTCGATTGGAATGTTGTCGACTTAATTCCACACGATCGGCTCGATCCAGGACAGGAAGGACGCCACGCGGGTGTAGATGGCTGGAAGATTCGCACCGCAGCCCTGTCCGATCGAGGTGATTCCAAAGACGTAAAACACGCAATGGTTGCCCTGGTCGGTGATCTGCAGAGGTCCTCCGGAATCGCCCTGGCACGTATCGTAGCCACCCTCCACGTTCCCAGCGCACAGCTGAGTTGCTAGAACACCATTTTTCACTGTACGATGGCCAGCAAATGCCTCGGTGCATAGTTTGTTATCGTAGATGTTCAGGGACACCTTCATCAGCTCATTTGAAGGATCCTCGGCTGTGGAAGTGATGGTCAGAACATTAATTTCAATAACGGAATCTGTTCACGGTGGGGTAGCATACCAAAACCTAAGGCCCCGAATCCGGTTGCAATCGCTTTCTTTGAGGGAACCATTTCGCGATCGTACAGGCAAGCCGGTCTTATAAAACTGGAAAAGGTCACCACTCTATCCAGCTTGATCAGCGCTATGTCATTGTATTGACCCTGTTTCCGTAGAAACTGCGGGTGGTTAATAAATTCCGTAATGTCATAATCCTTGGGTCTGGCTCGATCGTCGTCCCGGAATAGGTTCTGGTCACCTAAGCGAACAAACGATGGCCATACTCTGTGTCGGAAGGTTACAAATGTCACCATCTTTTCCCCCTTTATTATAGAGTGTCGATCTTACCCATTCATATCCTTGTAGCAATGAGCGGCAGTAAGCACAAACTGATCGCTGATGAGCGATCCTCCGCAATAGAACGACGCGGTTCTGTCCGCTTCTCGCCAACCAATCGCAGCCATGTGCGGAAACTCGCCCGGCTTGGTGACGTTGCCGCCGACAATCAACTTCGTGATTCTGTCGCACTTGGGCACCTTGGACCGGGCCACAATCGACGCCAGGCTCAGTCCGATGCCGGTCACTTGGTCGTACGACAGTTTCCGATACTCGTTGCATTCTACGGCGAGAGAAGTTAGAATTCAGTTTTCGCATGGCTAAGTTATCTATGTTTGTCAGGAGCATACTCCGGACAGCTGTCCGTTCCGATTCGGGGGAAACCAATCGGTTTGCGAGTTCCGCCGGGCAGCACACAATGGCTCCTTGGAAAGAGTGGGTGCAAATGACGATGGGCTTGTTTTGAAGGTCTTTCCGACAGGCGGCGTATGGGCGGCAGACTCCGGGTGATCCATTGAGTTCGCAGGGTTCATTTTCTGTGGATGATGGTTGGTATCGTTAGGTATTTTGTCCGGAAGAATAGCAACATCAGGTGGTGATCATGCAAAGGTGGCGATCCTAGATTGCTAGAAAAAAGTGCTTGTTGGTAGACGTGGTTTCGTTCAGATGCAAAACAAGGAATTCGTCTACTTACGCATGCGATGTTCAATCACTGGAAAATTTGGTTACACTTTTGTTATGAAACATGTTCGACCCCTTCTGCGGATCAAGAAGTTTCGACTAGTCTCTACGGAGTACGCGTTTAAAGCAATCTACGTTGATGACTTGCTCAAACCAATTGCGGAAGCAGCTTAACATGCGAGGGTTTTTTTTTTGTTAAGGAGGATATTGGTCCAGCAAAGCACTCTATCTACACTTGGGGATCAAAGGGCCTTTTTGGAGGATTTTTGTGAGCATTAGAAACAACAGCGATGAAAACCAAAATGAACAGAACATTTGCGGAAGACCCACAATTGAACGGAAATTTAAATGAAGTTCTTTGAAAATTCTTACGAAAGTTCAGGTTAATCATTCTGAAGACCTAAAACAAATCCACAAATTCAAATTTTGTCCATAGAAATTCTTTGAAGAGATCCGGTTGATAAAGAAAAGAACATTCTGAAGACTAACAACTGGCAAGGAAATCAAAAGATATGCTTCGGATATCACGAAGATCAGGAATTGTATTGAACATATCCAATGGCCAACATTTTCAAAGTCCTTCTGATATTCTTAGAAGAGATCAGGAATCAATGAGCTGGATTACCGAGGTGAAGCAATCACTCACACAACCACTGTACGATACACGCAAGTACACGCAAGTAGTGACGTCACTACTTGCGTTTGCGTTGATTTTTTGGTTTACTAATACAACCCTATTTCACGATCTGCGCCACCTCCCTCTGTACCTCATTGATCAGGAATGATCAGGAATGATTACAAAGATAAGGACAGAACTAACTCTAAATCTTGACCAAAATTTAAAATGATAATTAATTTATTGTAAATAGAATACTGTGAAGCAAAGCATACATGGTTAACAAGACACGTGTATGAAACAATTCTGGATCAACAATAGAAAAGGGCCCATCAGCATTTGTATACAAACCCTTTCCTTACAAAACGAAGGCCGCCCACACAAACCAACTCCATCATCGGGTAGGGGAAACTTTTCCCTATCCAATGATAGTGTTGGTTTGTGTGGGCGGCCTTCGTTTTGTGAGGAAACAGCTTTAGAACGGTTTGTTTACAAATGCTGATGGGCCCTTTTCTATTGTTGATCCAGAATGTCCTCTTTAACGTTTGACGTTTCACATTCGTCTAGCGTAAAGAGCCTAAATTCAGACTCTTCAGTCTAACGATGTCCGATTTCTCGCGTCACTTTTCAATAGGTCCTATATACATTAATCGATTCTCTTCATCAATTTTCTGTTTGGATCCGGATATTTTAACACACAGTTCTATGGAAGATGCAACAGCCCGCATAAACAATAACCATTAGAGGAGCCTAACCACCAATTCGGGATATCATCTCAACTTTATGTGGTATGGTCGTACCATCTATGAAATTGTTAGTGTATAGTACCCGTTTATTAGGGAGTGCTCTCTTGTCGTGCGGGTCTATTTGCTTTTTGCTGAAGGAAGTGTTACTGCTACCTAAAGCGACACATTGTAAATGGTGCGTTTGTCAACCCGAAAGGACAAACCTTGAAGCGGTACAGTCCCTTCGGAGTCCGAAAGGCCATGTAGTCCCATGATTTTTCTTTCAGGGGAATTTGAAAGTTAGCATCCACCACCGAGAATTTTTTTGCATTTCCCAAACGATGAACTATCTCGCCCATATCCCTCATTGGGTAGGAATCCTTTTTAGTCAGTGCATTTATCCTTCGGGAATCTAGGCATACACGTAGTTTACCGCACACACTCCTCTATTGCATCTAACCGCTTGTAACGCTCAAGTTCTGCCTCCATTTCAGCCTGTATGGCTGGTGAACCACCGGTAGAGCGGTTGATGCCTCGGTTTCACTTCCTCGTTCAGAACAATCTCGTGCTGAATGACCGATTCTTCCAAGCCGGTGCTCCATAGTACACGGGAAAGTCTTGATGGCTTCTGTCAACACCTTTCTCTCCTCTTGCGTCAACTCGTGCTCGGTCTCCACTGTCTCTGGCGTCGCCTTCGAGGGTTCCGGAAGTCTATCGGTTACTGCGCGTATCTCAAGCTTTCGTGGACCATCTTATCTGCGGTCATGATTGTAGAGTTGGGAAATTAAATAAATCACTATTTCATTTACGTTTATGATTCACCCCTAAGAAATTATAGTTTTAGTTGATGACTTGACTTCACCCCTGACGAACGACGGCAGAGAGGAGACGGGAGCTCTTGATGCTCGGGGGCAGTCATGATCGAACCTTTATGGAAAGCGGTAGCTAGAACTCTTAGTAGCAGGAGTGTTTTTGGAAGTGCAAATAGGAGTGATTTCAAGGCCGGCGTGATTCTACAATTTGGCGCAGCCGGTAGCATTAATTGAGGTGAGTAATGGTGCTATGTTTGTTAATATTCGATTCGGAAAAATTTTTGATGTTCGGGAGCGTTTTTATTTTCTCGTAATGTGAGAACAAAATGGCGGCTAGGATGAAGAAAAAAGTGGTAAAATGAAATCGACAGTGGGTCCGATAAAATTTCGTAGCGCTCACACTGATACATAGCAAAAAGGAGGCAAAAGTGAAAAGCGAGACCGATTCATAGCCGCAGCGCTGGTTTGTAAAAGTAGAGGAAGCGAGACCGGTCGATGTCCGAAGTGCTCACCATTGTATAGAAGCGAAAATTTGAGCGAGACCGGTTGAGGACCGCAGCGCACGAAATCGAAGCTTTCTACGTATATGTGGAGTAAATAGCGAGGCCGGTTGACGACCGCAGCGCGCAGCAATACATAGAGGTATAAATATAAGCGAAGCCGGTTGAGGACCGTAGCGCACACAATTAAAGCTCACCACATGTGTGTAAAAAAAATAGCGAGACCGGCTGACGACCGCAGCGTGCATGAATACGAAGAAGCAAAACGAAATGATAGCGAGGCCGGTTGAAGACCGAAGCGCATATCACAGAACAGAAGGGGAAGTGCAAACAAATCGGTGAATCAAAAATGGTTCGTTTTTCTGCTCAACAAGCGATGTGTTGTGGTAACGTTCCACACGGGCTTTCTATGTGCACTCACACTATCATAGCATGCTGCCTATCTTAACTGCAGGCAGAAGATGCCTTCTACCGCTAGGTGCGCTAGTGTTCGCAAATGACAAGTGGAGCCACTTTCAGATCCGAAGTTCCACTCCTGTGCGCATATGCTAGCATTGTGTCTGTGTATGGAAGAGAAAAAAATTGCAAGGCCGGTTGAGGACCGCAGTGCTCACAAATATTTAGAAGTAGGTAATAATGCGAGTCTGGTTGATGATCGAAGCGCTTCTGTACAAGCTCTGGTAAATAGGAAGCAAGCGAAAAAGTGGTAAATAATGACAAACAACGAGTTTTTGGAATTGTGTACATGATGATGTTTTGTTGCTGAGGACAGCCAGTAGTGTAATGAGATAATTAAAGCAAACTTAATCACGGGTTATTGAATTGTTAATCACAACATGCATTTGCTGAGTATTAGGCTACATTTTCGCTATAAATTTCGAAAGATAGATTTTTTTTTAATTCGAGGATCTGTTTTGTTACAGATGGATCCGGACAAGGATTGGCCGTTGGAGCCATTTAATGACGCAGTTGTCCCTTCCGATTTACGTCGTGAATGGGAAGAATGGTTCAGAGCGTTCGAACTTATCGTAGAATTGAAGAAGATTGAGTCGCAACATGACAAGCTTGTTCTACTCCTGGCACGAGGAGGCCGAGGCCTTCAGCGAATTTTCTACAACTTGCGACCGGTGGCTGATGAAATTTATCCGGAGCCGGCTAAAGTACCATTTCTGCCAGTAGAGACACCGGAGTACGACAACGCAATCAAAAGATTGAGCAACTTTTTCGTGGGAAAACGCAACGAGCGCATCGAGCTGGAGGTATTCCGGGCGTTGAAGCAATCGCCTGATGAATCCTTCAACCATTTCATACTGAAGTTACGTACACAAGCCGCTCGTTGCGACTTCCGGGTTCGAGAAGAGATGGAAATATTGCATCAGGTAGCGATGGGAGCCCATGACGAACGAGTCAGGGACAAAGGTCTTGAAAATTCAATGAACCTGGATGAACTGACCAACTACGCTGTAAACAGAGAGATGTTATTGAAGCAGAAAGAAAAGGCACTTCCTTTCAAGGCTGAAGTAGATTATGGTACTGTGGCTGCGGTCAAGCAGGAATGGAACAGGGAGCCTAGACCGACAAATTTGGGATTGCGTGAGAGACGACGGGAACAGAGCAGCCGTATGGAGTGTGAAAATTGTGGATCATGGAAGCATCGAAAGGATTCTCGGGAATGTTCTGCCCGAAACGCCCGGTGCAACAACTGTGGGCGTACCGGTCATTATGCAAGAAAGTGCAGATCAAGACACGGAAATGCCAGGAACTGGGAGCGTTCATTTGGTGAAGCCAACTCGGTGCGAGAGGACGAACGTCGTCGTTTTGGCTACCGCTACCGGGAGGACCCTGAGGAAGGACCATCTCGACGTCCCAGCCCGGTGTTGAAGGTAGAATAATTTATATCTTCCTTCTTTTTGATTTACAATTATATTTCAGTTCAAGTTGAATTCGATAAGTTTTGATTTTTTTTGTAAGCATATGTTGAGGGCTTGTAGAATCACTCACCGCATATTTTTTTTCCTGATTAGTGTGGATTACTAATAACTTAAATTAAACGGAAAATAAAATAAAACTGAAATGATGTTTATATTTGATTTCTTTATTAAAACTAGGGAAGTACAACGAATGACGGAAAAATAACCTGCAAGATTGATGAGCTTCCAGTGGCATTCTTAATAGACTCTGGTGCCGCCATCAACACAATCA